TTAGAAGAAGATGATTCGGTGGAAGGGATAGTCCGGCGCAGTCACACCTTGCGGCGCGGAGACGGTAGATGAAGATGGTCCGGGCCCGGAATTGGTGGGGCTGCGCCGGAGGTGGGGCCGTTGACATCTCCATCAGTTCGGACCCAACCTCTTGAGCGAGAATCCACCACGGCTCTCCTTGAGATGGCTCCGAGATGTGAGAGATTGAGTCCTCTCCCCCTTAGGCTGCGAACATGCAACGCGGACAGGTCTGTGTCGTTATCCCCGTTTATATTGCCGATTCATTGGTGGCGCTGTGATAGCAGTGGACGACTCTGCATACAGAGCGCGATCCTCTGAAAAATTAATTCAGGTATATCTAATGGTGATAAACGCTTCTCCCAATTCTCCGTCTCTGGACAGATTTGCTGAGTTGTAGTATTCTACTCGGCTGGATCCTCTAGATTCGGAGAATATGGCCAATGTTGGCCAGCTTCGTCAGGACTGCCGCTCCTTCTCTCATCTCGGGCGTGGAGTACTGGGCAAGGGTTTCCGGATGATCCATCTTCTAAATGAATCGGTTGAAACTTTGTCCCATAAACTGGCGCATGGTTTCGTAAATGCAAATCCGCCTGATCTTCCCCGTCAGGGTATCGGGGAGTTTGGCCTCGGCCTCTAGCTGCCTGGCCCATTTGCGGAGTACCACTTCTTCTCTTCTCCGAGGGTTGGCGAGAGTGGCCGCCGGTTCTTTCGTCTTTTCTCAGTAGAGTTCCTTGATGCGATCAAGTGTTTCATCAAGTTCTGCGTCGTGGTCCGTATTTTCGTATGCCTTACAGGCTCTCTCGAGTGCAACTGTCTCCAAGACCATAGAAGGTCTCTAGCAACCTCCACTAAGGGTTCTCAGATCCACTATAGCAACTTCTCTAACGAAAATAATCAAGTGAAGGAGTTTCTTTGTTGTTCCTCATCCTTCTCGCGATCAGATACGTTTTCTGCTTGCTAAAACATTCTGTCGAGACATTTCTAGCCCAGGTGTTGACCATCTCGCGGATGAACTGGTAGTTCCGTTGTTCGAACAAGTCGACAGGAATGTCACTCTCAGGACTTCTGGTATATTTAGGAGAAGTGTTTGTTGCAGCGTCATGTCTCTTGGCTATGGCAATTGGGCTATTGTTATCAGCAGTGTCTTCTGATAGAGTACTTATAGTAGTGGCTTTAGGGGGAGTTCTTGCTGGCTAGGCTGGGGGTTCTAGCTAGGGTGGCATTGGTTGTATTAATAGTAGTACCGAAGGCGGCGCATCCTTTTTTCACCGACTGGCAGTGAAGACATTTCGCCGATGCATCTATGGCGGGTCAGTAACCGAAAAGACGAAGCGAGGACGAAGAGACGTACCCGTGAACTCTCGGCAAACTCGGAGCTCGGTAATCACGTTGGCCCCGGGAACTCGCCATCGTGCCTGTTGTGGGCACATCGCTCACAAGGCGCGTGCGTCGAGGGGACACCCCGCTGAGACAGCGGCGTCGCAGAGAATGCAGCGGTGAGGTCGAAAGGCGCGTCCGTGTTTAGTCCCGAGCGCGCGCGAGGCTTCTTCCGGCGTGAAATCCACCATTTCCAGACGTCCCTCCTCCCCAGGCAAATCAAAATATCGTCGAGGATTCGCTTCGATGTCCGCTGCAACGCTCATTCGAAGAAAGAAAGAACAGCGGTTGGTAAATAAACAAGCATACACCCACACATCGTAGCCACGACACACTGAGAAGAGGTAGAGGCTTGTATCGCTCATCATTGGGCAATGGAAACACTTGACGAAGGCATCCACAAGGAGTCAGCTGCGAACACGAGGAGGGGGGTGCATGAGGGCATACAAGGAGACGAGCGGCACACTTCACATGTCGTAGCGGGAGTCTTCAGGAGGCCACAGCTGCGAAGTGCCTCGGGCGAAGGTTGACGTCGTCCGTTTTACTTCTGCATAACTGCATATATCGTAAGGATGTATTCTCTATAAACGCCGTTTCGATCCTACGAAATCAAATACGCGAGCAGCTCTTCCTTGGAAGGCTTTCAGCATGCTTCACTTGCTGAGAAATCGCATATACACTCGGCCTACTCGGACAGTCGTTCGGAACATTCCGGTTCCATACGTTGAGCAACTCGCGAACAATTGATCATTTCGAATCCACCCATTATACCGGGTTTTGGCCCTGAGTGTATGATCAGTGGCGTTGTTTCCATCGTCAACCGGATCGGTCGGTATATAAAGTTAGGGAACCGAATATGTGGAGCATGGAACGTGAATTGACAAAAGCAAGCAACGAAAGCCCACGGCCGGTGCTGGAGAACCGTTCCGACAACCCCGCAGATCGAGGAGGAGGTTTTCGCCGAATGCTCATCACTAGAGCTTTAAAGGCGACGACGCTGGTAAGGAGGCAGGCACTGGGAGCACGGCAGCAGTGTCACTGCCAACCTCCCGCTCATAATCATCATGATCACCAGCCAAGCCGTGGTCTCGGCTGCGGGATTACGGTCCGATGCCTAAGCCTGCGAGATAGTTATGAACACAGCTAAGCTCATCGATTGCCACGGATTCATTCAAATATATAGCACTTTGTCCTCGCCGAGGCGGGAGAACATGCAAGGCAGGGCATTGAAACAGTTGGCGGACATGGGCGTGCTCCGCAGTCGCCGCCTTTGTATTTCCCAGTATTGCCGAATTTCAGGTGTTGGTAGGGTCAAATATATCGATGTTATGTGCATCAAAAGATACAAGGGAGGCGTGAGAGTATGTCGCGAGGTTGACCCGGGGGGGCCTGCCCTATCAAAAGCGGCAGACTGGGTATCTTGGCCAGGATTCTGAGTTAATGATACCTCGGCGTCTGGGCCGAGGCCTAGACGCTTCCACTGTTGCTGGCATACTGCCGAGACGGCGCCTGCGAGCAGTTCCCTAAAAGGTAGGTCTTCTGTGAGTATGGCGCAGAGGGGTACAGAGGTTCCAGGGAAGACGGTGGTACCGTCGGGTAGGACAAGCGGGTTAAGAGAAAGGTTGCGCCAATCGTTGAGGCCCAACGCCCTGCAGGCCTCGGGTAAGTCCTCTTCCTGCGGTGGGTTCTCTGACACAACCGACGAAAGGACAAAAGCCCTTCTGGATATTCAGAGTCTGGGTGTCGGTTACCTCGGCGGCGCTGCGCCCTAGTCTTTAAAGGTTCTAGGTGCCGAGATCTGTTGACAAAGAAGCGAGTGTTGGGGTGTTTAACTCTCCACGGCCATCATGCATGACTCCAATCCAACGAAAAGATAAGAGATAGGTATATAAACGAGTGCGGTAGGCGGCCAGTACTTTTCTCGAATGCCAAAGCATCGAGGGAGCTGACATCGGAGTATAATTGCTCGAGTGCGTCGTTGCTAGTAACTTGTAGTCCTTCCCAATAGACAACGTCCGTCATGTCGGTTCTTCTCCGCTGTCGAGGTGGGCTTCGTCTAGTATAACTCGTTGAAAACGCCTTTCATGGTCTCCGCCTGGGGAGAGTTGTGACATCGAGGAGTGGGTTGAAGTAGGCCACTGCTTCGGAGTACACCTGAGATATGATATTGTTTGGGACGATGACCAAAGTCGGCAGGAAATCGACCTCTTCACCAGCCGCAGCCCTCCTCTCCAGTCCTTCTGACATTACCTTTGCGGAGCAGCTGAGAATCTGGGATGCTGCTATAAAGAGAGGGTATATAAGGAATATGCCATACATGATGCCAGCTAAACAACTCAGGGTTATCACCGAAGTTGGCTGTGCAATCGCTCCACTAAATAATAGGAAAGCTACTCTCGATAATACTAGCTCGGTATTGGAGGGCCGCCGTGGCTAGACTCACCAGCATGTCGAAACACGCAACGACAAGACAGGTCCAACACTACATCTAGCAGGTAGTGCGCTGCGGGCGATTGACGATCACAGCCCAGAAACCCCAAGAAAAGTGCCACGTTGAGAACACTTGCTTCTCGTTCCATGTTGATCACCTTAGCTTGTCGACAAGACGACAAGATCCATTGCAGGCGTAGGCCTCAGTACAGAACAGCCAGGAACGAATGATCCCGAGGGTCGCTGTCACTCGACGCTCATCTCCAGCAGAAATAAATATATATATTTAATTTTCGGTGGCCTCACGCATGAGAGACGTCCGCGTGTTAGAGGACAGCGCGCTAAAAGCCCGCGATGTTTCATTCCCTCGATATTAGTGAAGCATTGAGTGCCCAACCCAGTCTCGAAGTTCCGAACTGGTCTTCAGGAACCCCAGTGATCTTTGGCATCCATGTGCTGATTTGCGGCATCCTCAGAGCTGAACTCACGATCACAAGTTCCGCAGGAGAAGGTTGGTGTGCATATTCGTCACAAACCGTCTTAAAATGACCAGGAGCTGTTGGCAATTTTGCCAATTGCTGTGGTTCAGGGTATATTTAGCGAGAAAAGGGGCCGCATTCCCATTCCCGAATTTCGCTTTCGCCAAGCTCTGTTCGGTGTTGGGTACAGAGTCTCAAAATCCAAGGGAAGATGACTGCACCGGAGGGCAACACGAGGGGCAACTTCATGGTTCGCTTCCGTTGTATGAGCTGGAGTATGGGCCGGAGGATTTCGTTAGAGAAACATTCGTCCCAGGAGTATTTAGAGTTGAGGATCCAAAGGCGCATGCTCCCGTTGGATTTACTCGGAGCATTTCTCATGATATCAAACAAACCGCCGCAGGAACGGCATAAGATATAATAAGGTTTGTATATCCTGCCACCGGTTCTGGGGTTTCTCCCAAAACAGGACCCCATAGCATCGGAACCGTTATTGATTTTCCGCAGCTGCCTCAAATATCCTTTCTAGCCCTTTCAACATCTTCTAGCCTTGAAAAAACCGCCACACAGAGGTATCCGTCGTACCAAGGACTCTCATACTGTAGCAACGCAACCACCATATATAAAAGGCCAATCCTCGTACATTCGCCCAATACCATGAAGTAGCTGTTACCCTACGCATGGTGGTCAGTCCTACTCCGCTATGCGCGAGGACAACGTCTGGCGCACCTTGCGATTCGCCACCTTCTGGACGAGCACGCCGCCGGCTTCGTTGGTGATGGCCACGACGTAGCCTGCGCCAGACTTGTCCTTGTACCAATCCCGAAGCCTCTTCAGAGTGGTTACGGTCTGCTCCTGGGTTACTTTAGCGAGCTCGGCGGCTGCCTTGGACAGGGTGGGCCGGTCGGGGTTGATGGGGTTAGGGTTAGGCCTGTCAGGGGAGTCTGGTTCCAACTTGGGCTCCTTGTGCGTCGGCTCATCACTGTCGTCGTCGTCATCTCGAGGTCTCTTCAAAAACTACGTGATCTTCGCGTGCAACGCCCCTTGAGCCCGAGAGGTATTTTCCAACCATGGCCCAGCATTTTGGAGGTGAGACCAGTGAGATGATACCGTGACTTGGATTCAAAGTCATAGTCGTCGTGTTCGGGAGTCCAGTCTTTCAGGCTACCGCCCGGAGTGTCCGTATAGCCCACCAGGAGAGCGCCACGGTGTCAACATCACGCATATGCGCCTAGAGTCAGTACTGAGTTTTGGCCCGGATTGGCTGGTTCACGACCGGAAACGATCACCACAACTAACATATGTAGAGGGAAATATATCACCACAACTGACACTTCCCGCCCGTTAAAACGAGTCCGTCGTCGTTACTCGCCACCTCCCGTGCGTGGTTTGTCGTCTTTGCGTGGATCCTCCTCCATATATGTCAGGTTGTGCTTGTACGGAATGATCAGCAAAACCTCCGAAGACGCCAGAAGACCGAGCATTGAACTAGTAGGAGAGATCTATATATATAATAGATAAAGAGATATCCATAGACATTTGGAAGCAACAACAGAGAACAAGATCTCATCATGCCTTCCCTACAAGCACAACGTCGCCAGTTTCGTCCGTTTTGTCACACGTCTAGACGCAGCGAACGTGGAACGAATGTGCGTTCCAGCGGGTGGTCCGAGAAGTAGCTACCGTAGCTGGCGTGGTGGTGGTGATAGCGCCCGACGGGCCCAGAAGGAAAACCGTGCGCCCGAGGGAAGCTGACAGCGATCAGCTCTAAGCAGTAGAGGAACTCCCAGAGCACCATTCTCAATCTTAGCAGCTGTTTCCCCCCTTCCAATAGAGTTTGCTGCCTCTCTCCAGTATCATAAGAGGCAGTGGCTTGGCTCTTGTGTCAGCGAAGGGAGGTTTTAAACACGGGAACTCGTGTTGCAAGGCCTGGGTTCCCAGTAGCAGTAGGAGGCACCGCAAAGTCGTGTTTGCATTGAATCAGGAAATAAGATAAGTCGGAATTCGTATCTGTGGCATCTTTCCTGGTAAGGGTTGCCAAAAAGCAATTGCTTCCTCTGTTGTGTCATCATTTGAATCGGCAATCTTCCTCCTCCCGTCGTAAGAATATCTGGTTTATTCACGTTGCTGCGCCATGTCGCCAATTGCGCAGTAGCTTCGCAAAGAGTTCTTGGCACGATGAAGCAACTCAGTTCTCCTCACAAAAAAAGAGAATCGTTTAATCGTCTTTGTGGCAGCATTTCCGCCCGCCTCGACGGGGGAAGACACAAGGGGTCGATGCATGAGATATTGAAGAGGTATGTCAGGCCTCCGTCAACGTCTGTCTGGACCGCGTGGGCGGGGTCTGCCGTCGCCGCCTTCAGATCATCTAGCACTATAGCGTTCCTGGGGTGAGTGGGGAATGGCAATCGTAGTAAAGACTCTATAGTAGGAAATCAGTTCCAGGTGTCCTCGGCGTTGCTGGCGTATGTCGCCAGGGCCAGCGGCGTTACCACCGATAGCTGAGCCTCAACTTGATAGTCACGAGTAACTAAGTAAGTGGCTGGACGATGTCTTGCTATATCTAGCCCACTTCCGTAGACTTATGAACCAAACGCGGGAACCAAGCCCTTCAGATCGTACTCAACGTTGCCAGCTTTCTGTGCGTCTTTCCGGGAAACCACAACAGTGTCCCCGAAAATGTCTAGGTCAAGATTAGACGCGTCGAGTGGGGCATTGCCGTGTAACATACCCTACACAGCCTCGCATTTCCGCGCGGGCAAACCCGGGCATGAACCGATCTCAACAAATGGCGATGAGTAAAGCGTCCAACAGGACAGTGGATCTCGTCTCATTCAGCCATCCTGGTAGCTCAGCTAGGGGCGACGACGATGATTCTCGAGCACAAGCACTGTGAGGAATATGGCAAGATGCAACCGCCCCTACCATCTCGCGCATCGTACTATCACCTAATATGTCGTCGAGAAACACAGCGATTTCATCGGTGTTGACAATAGGGCGATCCGTGAAGCCGGGATGTGGGCGTCAAGGCCCGTTTCCTAATGTTTGACGGGTTTGACGAACTGCAAAAGAGCACGACTCACAACGCAGCTCATCGGCTGCGACATCAAGGAACTTCGGGTATCGCGGGCTGATAGCGAAAGTTCTCCACGGTAATGCCCTGACAAAATATCAATGTGATCCTCTTTTATATATGATGTGCCAACAACATGGAAGAGGGTGCCAAGAATTGGGGGGCTAAGACATTGCTTGTCCCCCGTTATATAGGTTGTAGCGTCTGCCGAACGTCAATGTGTAGGATGGAGCTCCTACTTCGTATTCGAACCGCCCGACAAGGTCATTGTAAAGAGCCTGGGTGACGTAAGAAGCAGCTTCGGCAGATCTGTGGGCTAAGGTTGGAACACAGTCTTTCGCGACCGCCTTTCTCATAGCGAACGCTTACTGCTCTTCATTCTTTGGCCTGGCTGGAATGAGCCTTGAAGAATCATGCAATCCAAGAATTGAGATATCTCCAAGGACCTGTAGGCGTAGCACTCTTCTTTTTCGCGACATAGCGTATCGTCACGGAGATCATGATCATGTGGCCGAGAAGGTTAAAGGAGTTGATCAAGTCCCGCACACTGGGACCTTCCGTGCCGTCTGGAGGGTTTTGCTGATCTCCACATTTCATTGCGTTTAGTGAAGAGTTTGGTGATTACGAAGTCTTCGGTTTCTTTGACGGCGATTCTTCGAGGGGCAACGTCAGTCTCTGGCCTTCGAGATAGGACGTCTAGAAGACGAGTCCCTAGAGAATCCCAGTAGACCCGGCCATGGACCGGTACGCAAGACCAATGTAAGACCTGGTTGCAAATTGGGACCGGAGTTTAGCCCCCAACCGAATGAGTTATGCCAGGGGTTGGTCGGTTTGGCGCGCTGCAGCCGCGAATACTGCTAGTTCCCAGCATAAGCATCTTCGTGCTAATCATAATGAAACTGAAGTACGCCTAGCGATCCATTTTGTGAAGGTATCAATTTTGAGATTCGTGGATTAGAGAATCTCAGTGAGGTTGGATAGATAGCGTGGAGTGATGAGGATGCTGGAGTGCCAATAGTCGAATTAACCGCGATTTGAGCAATGCCCTATGTTCGAAGTGCCAGGCCTTCCATTTCTCTAGATAGAGAGCTCCGCCGGATAGCCTTCCATGAAGGAAGATGAATGATCTTGGTAGATATCCGCAGAGTACTCGGAGCTGAGTTGCCATTTGTCATTAATTGCGCCTTGAGTAGGCGGACTCTAGTTTCCGACAGCCCTGTTGACTGCCTTGAATTCCCACAGAGCCCTGCGCGAGAGTTCACCGTTGGCTCGGTGTCGTGGGGGCATCTCCTCAAAAGTTGTGTATCCCACTACCAAAACCTTCTGCACTGCACCCCAAAAATTCTCGGAGATCTAGGGGTTGACATTAGCTAAATCCTCGGAGAGGCTTCGCGGTACTCACTTCGTGACAGCCATTCTTCTTTTCAGAACAAGAGATGGAAGCAGTACGTCCCTCAACCGGGATACAGATTCGCAAGGAATCCTTCCTTCATTCAAGAGCATAAGGGAGTGCTAAATAGGCCCAAATATAGCCCAAGTCCCCTGTGATCCGAAATATCTTCGCGCGTTATCGCCGTCGAAACTTGAGCCATTGCCGGGCCCTCCCAGAATCGGCGTCCAGTCTCTCGACCACACGTCTAGCACAATGGGCCCATCACTCCGGCGAACGGCCCGCGCGACCACGGACCTACTCGGCTATGACCGTGGAATGCAGCGAGACCCCGGTATTCGAGGCATAAACTGCGCAACCCTTGGTGACGGCGTCGGTCGATTATAGGCGGTCATGGAGCCCCCGATCTTCTGGATGCTTGTGGCCCTGAAGTTTCCAAGACCGAGAGCTTGGAGGGCTGGTGCATCCAAGACTACTGCGTGCTAGGCGTGGCCGTAGCACCAACTCTGGAGTAGCCAAAGCGGCCGAATTATGTGCCGAATCCCACGCCCACTTTGACTGGCTGTATAAAATTGATCAAAGCCGCGCCAAGAGGCGTTCCGCATTGTCTAGATATCGCTTCTGGTGGTAGTAAACTTATCTCAAGGGTCCGTAATGACCCTTTTCAGGGTTGCTCAGATCAAGAAGGTCCTGGCTATAGGAACTGTGAATAACAGAGCATCTGTGAACGAGAGAATCATGAGTCTTCCTGTGAAGATAGGAGATTTGGGTTAGAACTGAAACGGAATCATGAAGAACTGGCTCTGGGGTGTGGAGGAGGAAAAGTTATCAGTTGGGCTATGGTGGAGGGAGAAGTAGTTTATATAGTTGTCAGGATGGGCCGAGATCACTCCCAATGGGCTGAAAAGTGAAGAGCGACCTTCGTGATTCTGCAAGTGACTCACAAAATGGACTTCAATGGCAGACAAATTATGATTCACGGCTCGCTACTTTCAAACAAATGACTATCTATGAGGAAGTTTGCATCAATATAAGCAATTGGTATCGGGAAAGCACCTGATTCCCACAGGAGCAATCAGCAATCAGCAATCAGTCTCCAGACCAAACAGGTAAGAGGCCATCCAGAGTTCATATATTGTACTAACTCCATATGACAGCCATACCTAAACTAGAAGCATACACCCGAGCTAGACAAATCAGAAGAGCTTCGAAGATGAGCGATCCTGATTCATTGAATCCAACTAGAGGCGTGTAAGTCAAGTTGGCAAGTTGGACATCGCCGACCAAGCTGCAGCTTCCAGTTTCGGAATGCTTCAGAAGCACCTATTAGAGCAGGAATTATAGGGAATTCGGGCTAATTCCGTCGGCACTCTCTTCTGAATCAAAGAATAAAACACTTATAGGCTTGTAGACGGGGATGAGATTGAGGAAAGAGCAATTACCCCTTCGGAATATCGATGAAGTCCCAAGAAGCTCAGCGATGACATAATCAGGGCCCCACCCACCTGAACGGAGCATCGACCCAATTTTATGCTCCGAGGCAACTTTTTCTTTCTGGGCCCTGGTTGAATTGCTCCGATTACCCGTTCCTGTCTGCGTCAGCATCAGCTGCAAATTGTCAATTTTTGGGAAAGCTGTTGCTCTCAACCGTTGAATCCCAAACCTTCCTTCAACCCACCACAGCTCCCAAAACATCCACCAAAGATGGCGGCCGCTCTAACGTTGAAGCTCACAAACCGATGTACGCATAGTCCTTCTTACTCAATAGCATGATGCTACTGCTACTAATTTAATCAACTGCTGACACGCCCTGTTCCCATCTCCAGCTCCGAAGCAACCGATCCGGAAGCTTCCCGCGACCATCGAGGTCCCGGCCGACGCCACCGTCGAAGATGTAAAGAAGATTGTGGCGCGGCAAGCGGGCATCTCGGACTTCAACCGAATCGGTATCTTCAACCCCACGACGATTAAGACGATTAAGGACAGGCGTGCCAAGATTGGCGACGATGCCGATGTTGTCAAGGCGAAGGAGCTTCTCGTCAAGGATCTCGGTATGTGAAATCCCACCCTCCACTTTGTGCATCTTTTCTCCTCCTCTGTCCCGCCGTCTAACACCAGATCCTCTCCCATCCTAGGCCCCCAAATCGCCTGGAAGACCGTCTTCCTCCTCGAATACCTCGGCCCCATCCTCTTCCACGTAGCCGTCGTCCTCGCCCGTCCCTACCTCTACAAAGGCATCACCCCCGCCACGCCCCTCTCCGACACCCAATGGCTCACCTTCACCATGTTCATCGCGCACTTTGTCAAGCGCGAGTTCGAAACCCTCTTCGTGCACAAATTCTCTGCAAGCACCATGCCGGCCCGCAACATTTTCAAGAACTGTGCCTTCTACTGGATCTTCTCGGGTCTCCTCTGCGCCTACGCCGTGTACTCGCCGACCTCCCTCGCTGCGACGGCTAACGAGCCCATCGTCGATCTTGTGGGTACGATTATTTTCGTACTTGCTGAATTGGCGAATGCGAGCGTTCATTTGCACCTTTCGAGCTTGAGGTCCAGGGGCGGCACCGAGAGGAAGATCCCTACGGGTCTTGGGTTTTCGCTCGTTACGTGTCCCAACTACTTGTTTGAGGTGATTGCGTGGGTTGGTGTTATTATTGCTAGCAGGAGTTGGGCCGTGGCTCTCTTTATTACTATCGGCGCTGCGCAGATGGTTGTTTGGGCCAAGGGCAAGGAGAGGGCGTATAGGAAGGAGTTTGGTGACAAGTATAAGAAGAAGCGATACGTTATGCTTCCTGGTCTTGTCTAAGTATGAGGGCGGATGGATGGAAAGGGTTGAAGTTGATATGGGTTCTCGTTGGAGGGTGGGTTTCACAGCCAAGAAGCTCTGCTTGTGTCATTCGGGAGTTCGGGTTGTGGGGGTTAGAATGCGAATGCTGCTCAAATATCGGAGACATGGAGGATATTTTCTAGCGCTAAGTGTATGAATACGATAAACTTTACGTCAAAGGAAGTCTCGTGTGAGAAAGGTTGATTTCTTCTGCATAATAAAAACAACGGATAGAAACAGAACCAAATCAGACACATCATGAGAGCATTACTGCCCATCTAATACAATCTTGCCCGTGATAAACCCCAATCCATCCCAAGATCCTAACCCAAAACCCACCGCGATGGCCAAGGAACAACATTCCAAAAAGAGGACTCAAACCTAGATCGTCGTGGTCGTCGACAGCGACGTAGTCTCAGACTCTCTCGCTGCCCCATCCGTTCCGCAAGGTGACTCCGTCCCCAAAACACTCGTACTCGACTCCGATAGCGACGCCCGCGATGTGCCGCTCCGAGTATCCGTCGTCTGCGCCGGCTCTTGAAGAACAGTGACCTGCGCCTCGGGCTTATCAGGCGGCGCATGAACCACCAGGGGCTCCTTACCCTTATCGAGGCTGCGATCCACGTCGGCCTCCGAGCCGTTGTTCACCTCATTCCCTAGAACAGGATGCGCAGCCGACACAGGAGGCGGGCCAAAATTCAGAGCTGCCAACTTCCTCGCCATCTCCTCCAAATCAACACCACCCTTCTTCTTCCCCCCATCCTCCTCCTCCTCCTCCCGCCCGCTCCCCTCTCCCTCATCCTCACTATCCGCCCCCTCACTACAACTACAACACTCACTCCCACACCCCCCTTCCTTCACCAACCTAACCGTCTCCTCCAAAACCAAAAAATCCCTCTCCAAAACCTCCGCCCAATTCTGCACATTCCCCAACATCTTAATATCCCTCGCCGCCCCCCTCGCCAACCTCTCCAACTTCTCGTTCTCCTGCCTCAACGCGCCAGTCGCCCGGCTCACGTCCCGCATCTGCTTGTTCAGCGCCGCGTCGCCCGCGTGTAGGGCCTGCGCGCGGGGCGTCACTTCGGCGTCGAAGAGGTTGCTTATGGAGGCTACGAGCGCGGCGCGGGCTTCGGCTATGTGGGCTTGTGGTGGGGGGAGGGGCGAGGTTGGGGAGGGGAGGGATGGGGGGGTGGAGGTTTGGCGGGGGGAGGTTGTTGTTGAAGGGGTTGAGGAGGACATTTTTTTTTCTGCGGATTTTGGGATTTGCTGTTCCTGGATTAATGATGGTTTGGGTTTTCGAGAGTTGGAGATTTCTATTTGATGCGCTGGACGAAGAAATTGCGGAAAAGGCGCTGGGTTTCCAATACCGTAGATACTAGGTCCCACGAGGAGGAATTGAAGATACGCCGAAATATCTTGAACAGGTGACCCGTTCCACACCTCGCGCTTTTTTATGGCTCCGTGATTTGAGAGAGAGCCATGAGGTTGCTTCGCAGTCAGCATGAGCTCCCTCCAAATGCACGCGGGGTTTCAACCTGCAGTAACCTGCGTTGGCGTGACATTGAACCATGCAGGAGAGAATGGCTCTCTCCGCCGCATCTATTTCAGCTCGCTAATCTCCGCATATCGAACAGCTGGGATCCTCCATCGACAAGATCTTGCCAACGGACAATATCGAGACAATATTGATATGCCTCGTGGGTGAAGACGGCATTGCAAGGATGAATCTCGAGAGAACTCCCCCGTATGAACCATCAGTCGTATCATCCTCAGGACCCGTCTAGCTCCTCAACACGATTGTTCGTTCCTCTCAATAGATCGCACAGTCACTACTAGAATGATCAATTCTCATTTCGCTTCCCTCTTCAGCTACCAAAAGGGTAACAAAGAGACATCAATAACGCCATGGCCATACAAATACACGCCGAGTCTCGCAAGAAATAATAATAAAAAGAGAGAGTGCGTAATGCCAGCTCCGCGTAATCCTGACCCGGCTCATGACCGTAACTCCATGCTATGCTACCACAGAACAAGAAAACAAAAATATCAGGGCGAGATATCCCTCTCACCAACAAAAACCCTTTCGTAACTAACACCTTAACATCCATCTCCACCCTTCCTCACATCTCATCCTCTCACATTCCGGACGCAGCCCGGACGCGTTTCCACTAAAACGCCACCCGTCCCCCATTCAACCGCGACGACGAAACGCTCGAACCCGGACTAACAATCGTCGCGGGCGTCATCGACCCATCGTGGAAATGCATCGAGTTCGATCCTAACGTGGTGCCACCAAAGCTGCTATTGCTGGTGATCGTGCCGGCCCGCGATGGGATCGACAGCCCACCGTACGAGATGAGCGCGTCGGCCCTCTCGAACACGTTTCCCGAGAACGCCGATGAGAACGACGCGCTCTGGGGGGTGGACGGGACCGTGGCTTGCACTGCGGGGCCAAGGGCCGCGCTCTGCGGCGTCATGGGCATCTGCATCTGCATCTGCATGTTGTTGTGCTGGCCGGGCTCGGCCTGCGGCGAGAGCGGATTCATGGCCAAGGGTCCCACGGTGGATTCTCGCAGGATGTAGGCCCACGGAGAGCGGCGAATGGCTTCGGTAGTTTCCTTGATGGCCTGGTGGATGGGTCGCAGGCGTGCGCGCGCGTCCGAGCCGATGGGGAGGTTGTACTGGCCGACCGCGTACTTCATGGCCGCGCCGAAATCGCTCCACGACCTCAAAAAGTTGCTGCACACGTTCCAGAAGGCCGTCTGCGTCCTAATGCCCGGCTCCTTCAGTTTGATGAGGGACATGCGAGTCTTGAGTGTTTCGGTCTGGTGAACTGCGGTCGTGGCCTTAGCTACCATCAGTTTCCAAGCCCGAATCACCTCGTCCGAGATGCCGTTCCGCTCCCTCTGCGTAATGGCGTTTCGGAGTCCACCAGTAAGTTGCGCGATGAGTCCCGGTAGCGACCTCATCACGAGCTCAGAAGATCGCTGCAGAGAGAGGAAAATCTTTTCGAACAGCCTATCCTCATCCGTAAAGTCTTCCATATTCCGACCGGCAGATGCGCTGCTCCCCGAGGCGAATGACTCCCCCGATCGTGGAGTGGCAGATTCCAGCGGTGCTGTCGGTCGTGCTGCTCCGTTAGTATACGGCATGGCCACATCGGTGGCCACTCGAAGGTTGCTGGGATTCGGCACAAAGCCGCCATTGCGCGGTCGCGGGCCAGGTGGTCCGGGGCGGTCAGCCATCATCGGATTCGTCGAGGGTTCACGCGAGTGGGGCCGGATCGTGTCGCCTCCCATGCCCGATTGCGCGTTGGGCAGCTGTCCGTAGAACCCTCCATTTTCTCCCGTAAGGGCCGACATGGTGACCCTCAGCTCCATGATACTATTATAGAGCAGCAGGAGTAGAGTTCGGATGTATCGGGGATCACCGTTGTCAACAAATGTGTCAATGTTGCCAGCTAGGAGAGTGCACACGTGCGTGTAGGCGCTCACCAAGGTCTGACAGGCACGGTGGACGTTCTCGTTGTCGTGGTGAACAGAAGACTCATCTTCCCCGTTAAGCGGATCGTGCTTCTGAATAGCTTGCTCGAGCTCTTCGACGTGTGAGTTCGTGTTGTAAAAAACGAGCTCAAGGCTCGAGCGCTTAGCCGAACCGTCGTTCGTCAGGCTCATAAGCATTTGAATCATCGGGTGGATTTGGAACACGGAATAGAGTATTCCCTTGGCTGTTTCGATCATGGGGTCGTATATCTTAGACTCTCGCCTCCTCTCTGGCAAGATGGACAGCCGTCGAACGTAGATCGGCCGTTGCATGTACGGTTCTGCCGGACTCGCGGGGCTCTTGTCGGCCATGTTCACCCCGGGCCCTTGCATAGCAGAGCCATGGCTTAGGCCGCGATAGTGACTGAAGCGGTTATTCACCTGCATCTCGTCTAACGTCCCAAGATCCGATCCTTTCTTCGACAAGACACCCCCCATGCGGCGCGACCGGCTTTCTGGGCGCTCCTGGCGAGGTTGCTGCACACCAGTCTCGGAATTACTGCGTACGCGCTCATTCACGCTCCCAATGGTCAAAGGCATGACGTTCGTCCGGCGCATCGTGGTACTCTGCTGGGACAACCCTCGGTAGTGTGATCGAGTAGGGATGGGAGGAGGTCGCGCAGTCGCGGGGGATCGCAGGTCAGGCATTTCAGAACCGTTGACCTTGACGGGGAATCTACCGCTAGCAACACGCTTGATGGGCAGTCGAGGCGTTTCGGTACCCTCGCTCGATTCGTCTCCGCCCACATCGGATTCGGCTCGACCGTTCAATGTCCGCTGTCGAAGATATTTCTTGATTTGGGCAGTGACGGCGAGCTCGGCCATTTCACTCTCACGGAGGACGCCCTCGTTCGGCGGGCTCGCGATGGGTACCTGGAATACTTCAGGCGGCGGGAAGGTGATGTCGTTTCCATCAAGCTTCAGGATATGCAACGACGCCATGTCCGCAAGGAACAGGGGTAGCTCCTGGATACGATTTCTCTGGACTGAGAGGACTTTGAGCGATGTCAACTTTATAAGCTCGGGTGGTAGAATTCGAAGTTTATTCCGGCCAAGGTCGAGGATCTCGAGCGATTTCAAGTCGCACAGCTGTTTGAGGAAGATGATCAGAAATTGTGTGTGTCCGCTGTTCACTGTCCACTGTCCACGAGAACAAGAAAAAGGATGACAATGGAAGGTTAATATTAGTTGGTGTTCAAACGTACAGGCAATGGGAAGTCTTTGATTTGGTTGTTTCTGACGTTAAGGTATCGTAGGGAGTTGCACTCTGAAAATCTCGCAGGGAACGAAGTGAGCTGGTTATGAGACAACGCAAGTCTGCAGAAGAAACAAAGCATTAGCCGAACTGTCCAGATAATCCAAGCAGATGGGTGAAACTGAGAAAACAAAAAGACAAATCGAAACGACGAATATTCCATCTCAACGATTAATCTCTCGTACCGTTCTAGCTCGTTCTTGATCACATCAACCACCTCTTCCGGCAGCTCTCGAATGCCCTTGTGACTTAAATTAATCGTCACTCCGGGCTTCAGTTCTGTGTTCGCGGCACCACCCTCCGCCCGCTGGGCTTGAGCCTCGTTCTCCTGAAGGGCATTCTGCATTGCCTCCCTCGCAAGCGCAATGACTTTGGCGGCCGGGGTTGGCGCAGTAGTAACGACGGGGCCAGACAAGGCCGAGTTCGATGGAACCTTTCGAATCTTGGGCAGAGGAGGTACGGGAGGTACTGAGCCATTTAAAGAAGATGATGACATCGAATTCGGCGGAGCACCGACGGGTCGGCGTATCGTGACGGGCTGGGTTGGGTTCTCGAGCAGGCCTCTACCCGTGGACTGGGTAGCGGCGCCCAGAGGACCCGAAGGTCTGTCCATTGCCTCGCGTCGATCGATCGGCGATGGGTTTTCGAGGCGTTAGAGACGAGGCGGGGGACGACGATGGGAGATTCGAATCGATGGCGGTGAAATAGGAGATGAAAAGAAGAAAGGGGAAAAAAGCCCTGGTCGGTTGGAAGGATGATAGAGGTGAAAGGCGTAGTCAAAGAAAATACGAGGTACGAAGGAGGTAGACTGGGAAAAAAAAAAAGTCAAGGCTTCCCTTTCGGAGCCGGCGCTGATTTGGGCAAGGCGAGGATGTTTCAGGGATTCCCGACCTCGTGGGAATATCTTTTTATGGGGGGGTTCTTGGTCTGCTTCCAATTTGCTACCAAAGGGGGTCCAGGGGGAAGACAAGGCCAGAACAATTGAAGCTTCGATGTTGGGCTAGGCCAGGCTAGAGTTCCTAGTGCGGTTCCTGACTCGTGGGTGGATGGAAAAAGCGAATCCCCAGCGCCCCTTCCTTTGCTAGCGTGGTCGAGTCTGTGAGTGGGTGTGGGAGAGATTTTGGTGTGATGGACTTGACAGGAAGGAGCGTGAAGTACGAAGGAGGATGTACCCCTACAGTGCAGAAAATGTAACTAGGGGACGAGCCTAGCGTTGCAGCATTGCAGTGTCGTGCTGTTACAGAAGGGCAGAAGTGGGGTTGGAGCGCTGCAACGAACTTCGATTGATGGAGACTCCGTTGCCAACCCAGTCAGCTGGTACAAGTGACAAGGTCCAGTCCAACTCATCCTCAGACGATAAAGCCGGAATTTAGGCCAATTGCGACGGACCCTCGCGTGCCTCTGTTACAGGAAACAGACAACTTTAGTATTTGGTATGGGGAAGAGCATCCAATCCCCTGGAGTAGGAGTATTACACTAGTGTACTGAGGTACAGCCTGGCAACCTGCACCAGTTCATCGATCGATACCACTCTGCACGCGGAGAGAGAAAGTCGCCGTGGCCGTGTCTGAGCATTGATGTTTCTGTTTGACAATTCCCACCAGTCCACCGCCAAACACCAAACACTCCCCGAGCCACCTCCGGAAGAAACCCACAAGATCCTACGAAGTAGAGAGCTCGACGAGTTATAACACACGAGCAGGCCTGTCAGCCCTGGAGTCACGGCGTCTGCAGGAGCTCACGTCGCATTTGCCCTTTCTTCCCTCTCGGCTCTATCCCTAAAGGTTTCGTTTCGAGTCTCGCCTTTATTTTTATGGGATTTCCTCTCTTTGCCCAGACCTCGCCCGAGTGCAGCAAAGGACCGTTGATTGTACGTACCTTCCCTCCTCAGCCATGACCACACTTGGATGCAGCTGTTTTTCCCAATCTGTACCTTCGTACCCTCAACAGTGAAACCTTGGCCAAGATTTTACTTTTTTTTTTCTGCAGAATCACGAATTGGGGAGGCTCGAGTCATACAACCTCCAGTTCTCTACAAATCTCGTGGCCAAGCCCCATTCCATGATCCAAAATTTAAAATAAAATAAAAAATCGTGAGAGAGAGAGAGAGAGAGAGAGAGAGCTACGCCATATTGTGTTCGCAGGTCAGATCTCGGCCTAGATCCCGGTACGAGAAAAAGCCGTCCATTGTCCATTGTACTGTTCGCTTAGAGACGACGGCATTGATTCCGTCGATTCAAAACATCGTCATCTTCAATCTCGGTCCGGCAATACGAACTATGTGCTTATATTCATCAGTACCAATAGCAGACGAGTTAGAGTTCCTTCCAGAAGTCAATCCAATGATGATTCTTTTAATCCTCCCCTCTCCATCGTAGGGTCATTGGATATCAAGCCATACATCACGAGTGACGAGTCTTAGACACACATCACCACGTCCATCATCGAATACTTGATTGAACACTCCGTCAATGCCACCCGATCCGCAACTTAGCTTGACATTACCCGCCGAACCACATCCATTCATCCCGTGTCTCACCACTTAATCTATCACCCTCCCAAAGTCGAGTGGGGGATGTCCATTTATTCTCGGCTTTGAACGAACCCTTAGTCTCGACTCCATGCAAGACTTCCTTTTCCCTGCACGTGAGGAAGATCGGGTCGCTCGGAATAATAAGTTGCGATCTTATCATGCATCAAGGGAAAAGGGCAGTCCGAACTGTGGGTCGAATGGACTGGATGAGGAGAGAAGATGAGGAGAGGAGGTAAGGAAGAAAAGCCAGAGCCTCCAACTTAACAGTGATCGCCGCTTCTGAAGCGGACCCAGCCCAAAGCTCCCCAGCTTTATTTTCTCCAGACTCCAAGCCGGTGTAGAAGTCTCCTTCACGTTAGACGAACATTCCGATATCCCATCTTCGAGATACTCAGGTCGCATCCCTTCTTTCTCTTCGGGTTCGCCGCCGAACGGCAATAATAACACCTTGCGAAGAGCTCCGGGGACCACGCCCTTTCTTTACTCGGAGAAGTGGAGTTAGCTTCTCGGTGCTCCCGCACAGTACGAGATTGTGATTGTATCTCGGCCGAGTCAACAAAGGCGTACAGAGCGCACGAATCGAGAGAAATCAATATTATGATTAAACATTAGGGAAACTAAACGGCGCAAGAATTGGGGGATCGGGTTTGTTGATCGTTTGAAATCTCAGGCAAAGTCTGTGTCCTGAAGTAAGCTGTGTCCGAGGCTGGGGGTTCCAGGGAAGGCTAGTGTTGGCCAATACATACTGTATTATCCCCTAAGTTGAATTCCCCTTTGGCAACTTGATCGATCTCCATCAAGAATGTTGTCATAAGTGAGCGCTGAACCCCTCGAATCCCTAACCCAATCAACCAAGCCCGCTCGTATCAGATCTTACTGCCGGTCTAATCAACTACTCCGTCCGGTATGGCTCGCCCTTTATCTCCTCTGGTTTAAGAATGATCTAATGATACTCGAGCCAGAATTAGAAACACTCAAGCAAATTCTGCTGCCCTGAATTATCTGCCACCGCAATGGAGGCCGGTGCCCAGAGGCAAACGGATGCGCAGTCCGGCATAAAGAACTCATGGCTGCGAAGAAACTTCACTCTTGCTATTATCGCTCTAAAGAACCGATTCAGGCCATCCCGGGGAGGCGTTCTCATGTTTACATCCAAATTCTGTGTGAAATATGGACCACCACCAGGGGGACATCTCTCTGAGGCAGAGACCATGGTCTACATTGCGCGTCATACTTCTATCCCAGTACCGAGGATTTATTGTGCCTTCCAAAAAGGGGATATTACCTATATTTTAATGGAGAGGATCCAAGGAGTTCCGTTAAACAGATGCTGGGACTCTGCCGGGGCCAAGGGACAGGAACATCTGCGAACACAACTGCGCGCCTTTTTCAAGGAACTTCGATCGCCCCCTCCACCACAGCCCGGGCACGTCGGTGATATCAACTATTCGAAGCTGTACGATAGCCGTATAGCTTCGGAAGGATTTGGACCCTTTGAAACCGCGAGGGACTTCCACAGATTTCTTCGAAATGGCGCGAGCAAGCCTGTGAAGGATCCGGAGCTGGATCAACTCATAACGGACCAGGACAAAGAATATTCGACATGTTTTACTCACGGCGATTTTAATTCTTCCAACATAATAGTTCGGGATGGACAAGTAGTGGCAATCATTGACTGGGAAATGGCTGGATGGTACCCTGAATACTGGGAATACACCTCGGCATGGCACGTCAACCCTTACGATGAATGGTGGAGGCCGGAAATAGAGAAAATCCTGGACACCTGGCCAGCAGAACTGGAGATGGAAAAATGCAGGAGAAAGATATTTCCAATGTTCTAACAAGGAACCTAAAGTAAACTATGATCCGACAGTGGCGGTATCGGCGAAGAGCAACGACCTACTCAATAGTCTCTGTGCTTTGAATCAAGTCCCACGTTGGCACCTTGCTCCTATCCCATTGGACTTTCCCATCAAACCGATGTTGGTCCTTCTTCTTTCGAACATACTGTTTAGCCGTGCTTTCAATCGTTGGCCAATCGGTAACAGATCTGCCCAAAACACCCGTCTCCGCTGCAAGGCTAGCGATGGCATCCCTGACCCAGATCCGACAGGTCCAGCTCTTATCGTCCTGAACAAGCGGGACCGCACGCAAGATCTCCTCCATCCTTTCCAAGTTGATGATTTTGGCCACCAGGATTCGAACGAGGATCATTTGTGTGGGAGCGGTACGGATCTCGAGCTCTTCATACTCCCACCGACTCCGGACTTCGCCGTTTTCGATGTGGTCGCGCTGTCGTGCGTGATACCGTTTGCCCAGGCTTCTCTCGTTTTCCAGCTTCGGCCCCGAAATAAGGGCCCAATGATAGGTATCTGGTTCTCCGCCACGTGCATAGAGGGCCACGTAGAGACGCGGTTTGTTGGAAGGTGTCATTGTGGGAAGTTTCGAAATATAGTCCCGAATTGGTGGTCTTCAGCAGCTGCTCTGCAGAATCTGTAGAATAATATCAGCGGAGAGTTCACAGCCATTGAGCCGTTGCCAGAGGCTCTAGGCCCTAGGCGTCGTCAAGAACGAGCTCTCCAGTCCGTCTGGGATATCAAATACCTCTTATGCAGGTGATTGTGCTTCTGCTGCCCGCGGATGAAGACCGGCTAGTGCAGCTCTGCAATATCAAGTTGGATGCTTGAACCTAGTCCCCGGACCTAAGGGGCGACGCAATGGGGAGCCCCGATTTTCGTGCGGTGGAGGGCCAAGCAAATAGGAAAGAGTTTGATATGGATAGGAATGAAATCAAACTCCCAGTCCAAAAGGAAGGATAGAGATGACTTTATAAGGCAGGCACAATCCATCAATACAAAATTGCAGTACAATATCTAGGAGCTTAGTCAGTCCGTAGAGTTCACACAAGATGTACAACCTTACATCTCTCTCGTCAAACATTGATGGATGGCACAACCGCCGAGGGCAAATCTTATCCAATCTAGCCACGCTCTCGCGTTTCGACCTATTCGTGAACCCGTTTCATGTTCTGGCGTATAAAGCTGCCTTACGGACTGGGGATACGTGGGTGATTGGAAAGCCAAACGAATGTGATGAATCTATGACAGGATCGCCTAAAAATAGCAGTAAGCCAACACCCCATCATGCGGCATGCTGGGATGTCTGTTCACGGTAGTGCTGGCGCGCGGCTATGGGATCCCTGAAGGCAAGTCAACCATTGGTCTCATCTGCGAAAAGGGGCCCCTCTTTCGTTCCCTTAGCCTCGCCCGAACGAGATATTCTCTAGGTGTATCAATCTTGAGGTGGTAATCAGAGTTATATGCGAAAGGATGCGTCATGATATCAAACCATCTTGTCGAATTTTCTGTACGGACAGATTGACATGTCCCCTGTCACGGCGATGCTTCTATGCTATTGCTTTCAACTCCTAAAGGGGATGAGCCGACTGTCTATGATGCCAGGCTGAGCCAGTGTCCTGTTAAGTGTTAACCACGGAGGATGCATGTGAGGAGTCGGAGCCTTGTGCAACACACCCCGTTTGGGAAAGAGTGACGCTGGTTACATGCACGCACGGCACTCATGCATCAATCATAACCAATCATCCTCGTCTGAAAGGCCAAGCTCGGCCACCGACCTGCCCAAGATTCGTTCATTCGAGAACCACTAAACATGAACAGCGAAGAGCGACGTGATCATCCTTCCAACCGATATCTTGATCATATTATTAAGGTTTTATGATACTCAACATACAGGAGCTGATCTCGTCCTATTGGTTCCTCGATACTGACTGCAAATTTCTTCTTGGACAAGGCTGTGTGGTGCTGCTCGTGATAGGTGTGGTGCTTGGCGCCCAAGTATCTTGCATTTGTGCGACGAAACGAGGGGTCAGAAAGGGAGCCGAGATGGAGTTTCTGGTTTCCACCCTTGGTCTACCTAATTTGCTGCTCGGTCAGCATCAATGACAACGGATTGCTGCTGCCTGCCTTCACAATCGGGGCCTCAGCCTCGGTGTAGGGGATGCATACTTTGGGATTTTCTACCCATGAACGGATATTCTTGCGCTCCATTTACCTGTGTACATAAACTCACCAGGAAAGAAATGGAAACGTCATCCAATACTTTGGGTATCGTCCATTCTCCCCATGCCGTTTGGGCATACATCACTCGAGATCCATTCGAAACATAACGAACATATTGATGAGCCTTCATAAACAGACACCCACAAAGGGGCCCCGTATAATTATTGTAAAACTACTATACAGGGGTTTAATTTGGCTACAATGTGGATTTCAGATTCAGTTCCCTTTTGAACAGCCTGAGTCCTCTGTCTCACATTCCCCAATGCTTGTTCATGACGTCACCGACAAGAACGGCTTCGCAACCTCATCTGCAGGTTGCCTTTACATCGGTATACAAAACACGGAATAATTACTATTCTTCGTACTGGCTAACAAGACTGACTATCTCGACGACCCAGGAGGCAGATGTAACAGCCAGAGGGAAGGGAAAGCACGGCGTTCCTCAAGGTATCGCCCATGACAAGGCAAGGATTTGCGTCATGGCTCAGTTGGTAGTCGGTCGCGTGGAACTCGTTCGCGATGGTGACCGAAACGTTCGGGGTGGATAGATGCCAAGTGCCGTAGTGTTTTCCGGAAAGGCCGCGACGAAGTCTCGGAGCGCGCTCCTGTAATGGACTTGTTACATCACTTTCGTTTCTCGTAGGGAGGGACCATATCCATAGGGGCATTGAGTGTCGATATTGGTGCCTGGTCGTCTGGCCCCCCTCACTCTTGTTCTGTCTTGGTCTTCCCTTTCGTGAATGGAGCGCTCTGATGTATGTCAAAAGTAATAGATGGGTCAGTCGGACTCCCGAGGCTGTAATAACCAAGGAATATGCACATAGTCACGATCCCCCAAGTCGTCATGCCTCTCATCTTCCTCGTCAAAATTAACATCAAACTCCTCGATATCCTCATCATCTTCAACACTGCCCTCTCCTTCGTCTTCCTCTTCTTCTTCGTCTTCCTCTTCTTCTTCGTCTTCCTCTTCTTCTTCGTCTTCCTCTTCTTTTCCGCATTCTCTCGCTTCTTGAGCATCCAAAAAGTAATACTCAGCGTCCTGCTCATGCCAGTACTCCTCCTTATCCTGATCGTCCAGCGCATCCATGGCGATTCGGTCTTCGCCGCCATTGTTTCCCCCCTGACTAGGAGTTCGCTCAGCCTCCTGGGTGACATCGCTGGAGTTGCGTAAGGTTTTGTGGTTCTTTTTAGCCTCTTCCCTTGGAGAGGCCTGGTCTGGCGTATGGTTATTTAGACTCTTGTCATGGCGGTGATCCTCAGATGAGAGATCTCCGCCTTGTGCGCGGAGATCTTGTTGATTAATATTCACGGGCTTCTCGGCCATGGCGAAGTAGCGCTGTGGCGAAGGGGATATTAGGTGCTTCTCGGGAAATGGTTGTGATATTTGCCTGAAGCAAAGTGTTCAATGCTATATTCTGTTTTGCTGTGAAGTAGACCACACGAGTGCTTGAGCCAAGAAAGAGAAGATGTTCCTAGCTATCAAAGATGGAGAGGAGAACAATTAAGCTTCTAAATCTGGAATATGAGCCGCTTTTAAAGGGGTATTTGGAGATAGAAAACCTGAAGCTAAAATATCGAAGCGGTTGGTGAACAGAGGATGAGAGTTTAGCCAGTCTTCATAAGTCACGCTTCTGGAAAATAGGGCCGGTCGCGAGACTTCAATCCTAGCTTAGTCTCTCCTCCCTTTAGATTCCCTTTTTATATCGCCTTTCGAGAGAGGGGATTCCACGTGCTATCCTGCCATAGGCTACGTAACATCATCTGACTCATAGAAAATTGTTGACTATGAGCTGGTCTAACTTGAGGAACTCTCCGTTTCTTGTGATCGCCCATGCACCTTATATATTGTCATACTCTCCTCCAGCCCAAGCTGCCTTCCATGATACCTAACCTCCCGGTCTTCTCCGTGATACAGCACAGAACTATCCGGAGGTCTCTGTGTGAGGGAAAGCGAGAGAATAGGGTAGTACCTGATGGTTATTGTAGTGTCAAGAGCGAAAAGACTCAAGCTATTGGAGCAGCGGACAGGAGGGCAAACCAGAGCCATGCTCGCCAACTCAACTTTTCCCGGTTGGAGCCCGCAAACATTTGAAGGGGGTGGATGGAATGAAAGTTTACGCGTGGAACCAGAAAAGAAATGTGAAAACACATTGCCTAAAATAAATTAAATACCCTTCTTCGCTGGGAATTCCCGGACTGGCACGAAAGCTGTCTTGGCCGCTGGGCTTTGGTTAGTTTCTTTGTAGTTTGAGGTTTCAAGCACCTTTCTCTCAAGTCCCCCTCCGCGCCCTTGTAAGGTCGAGCCGAGAGGGCTATTTTGTTTTAGAGAGCCATAGAGAGAAGCATCACAAGTGCGTAAGCATCCACGTCGATGTCTATGTATCTCGGTCTTCCCTACCCGAGGGTCAATCAAACAAAGAATCTATTCCATTATCATGCTTCCGCAATGTCATCAATCGTCATAATACCCTTCCGTTCCCAAGTATTCCGCCTGCGTACTCACCCATTCCTCAGTGGCAAGGCCCTTCTCAAGCCTCACCCTAAGCCCCTTAGGATCCTTATGCCAATCACAAGCAAAATCGCAATACGGCACCGTAGACTCCCCAAAATACTTACATATCTGCACATGCCGACATTCGGACGTATTCTCAGCGTACAGTGCCAGCGCCTGCAGGCTCCTCATCCGCGCCTCAAAGTTTGCCGAATTACTATCCTTGCTATCGGACCGGAGCATGCGCTGGACCCGCTCTAAATCCTCTCGGCTATAGTACAGGAAGCAGAAGCTGGCATTTCCATCCCGCCCGGCGCGGCCAACTTCCTGGTAGTAGCCTTCGAAGGATTTTGGGAGCCGCCAGTGGACTACGAAGCGGACATTGTCTTTGTCGATGCCCATGCCGAAGGCTGTCGTGGCGACGATGATATCGTAGCCTTCTTCGTTGGCGATCCAGCGACGGAGGGTGGTCTCTTTTACGTCGGGAGGTAGCCTTGCGTGGAATGGCTTAGCTCCGATCCCGGCTTCCCGGAGTTGGGCGGAGAGAGACTCGCATTCATCGCGAGACATGGTATAGATTATGCCCGGGACGCTTTCGACCCTCTCGCCGACGGCGTCGAGCTCGGGTTTTCTATCCGGGGCTCTTCGTCTTTCGTAGACTCTGTTAAGCCAGCTTAAAAAGTTGGATAGACGGTTATCGTCTTGATCTTGCGTATACCTAACCTCGAGGTGGAGATTAGGTCGATGAGCCGTCATGGTAAAAAGTTTGAGGCTGGGAGAACTCCTGTCAAGACCCATCGTAGTCAAGACATCGTTCCGGATTTGCTCGTTGGCCGTGGCTGTGAGGCACATTATAGGCACATCCGGAAAGGTCTGCCTGAACCAGGAGAGGCGCTTGAAGTCCTTTCGGAAGTCATGGCCCCATTCTGAAATGCAGTGCGCCTCATCGATAGCGATGCGTGCGAGTTCGCGCTGTTCGTAGACGAGCTGCAAACGCTGACGGAAGCGGTCGGTCGAGCAGAGCTCAGGAGTGACGTAGAGCAGACGAGTCCGGGGGTGACCTGTCCCGAGGTCGCTGTGGATGGCGTCCCGCTCTGATAATGGCGTATTGGAGTTGAGGGTCCTCGCATTGATGCCAGCTTTCTTGAGAGCCTCGACTTGGTTCATCTAAATTGTGGTCAGAGGTTAGTTGCCTCGGCAGGACACCCAACATTGGATCCAATTGATACCATCAAGCTGAGAAGCGGCGATACGACGATGGTGACTTCAATTTGGGCATTGCGCGAAAGGTTAGCTACGGCAAGGACAAGTTTGAGGAATCCATTCCAAACATACTGCCTGAGTCGATCACGGCTGGGAGCTGGAAGCACAAGCTCTTCCCAAAAGAGGTCGCCGCCTGAACGTAGACATCTTTGCCCTGGAGGGTCGCCTCGATGATCTCTCGTTGAGGGGGTCTGAAGAGAGCAGAGAGACGCGGGTCAGCTCTAGATTGCAACTGATAGAGATTCTATGGTGGTAAACAGCAAACCTGAAGCTCTTCTTGTTGAATTGACGACGGAGAGTAAAATCCAGATCAATAATCTGCCCAGAGCTCCCCGTCCTCGTAAGCCTAGCGGGTGGCATCCTCCTCTCGAGCTCGAGACATTGACGTTGGCGAGTGAATCGTTATCGTGACGATCGTGCCACTGCCAGTCCTAGGCACTTTGACACCAGGCCGAAGTCGATATTCAGACGCGCTAGCACGCAGCTAGGTTCCTGTTTGGGAAATTCCAGCTGTTCGAACAGGGACTGGACCAAGCGGGTTCCGCTGGTGATCTGAGGCTGATGTGCATGCACTGTGCGTTGTTTCGCCTTCCGCCCTTCCGCCTTAGGGAGAGAGGTACGTACTCTTTTCGTATTTAGAGGCACGAAAGTATCTTGTACACCTGGAGAGGTCCTCCATGTGTGTGTTTGAAAGGGCCGTTCTACGTCCAATGCATGTCATCGTACGGGAAATATGGCAAGACTTCGTCAGGTCATCATCAGGCACACGCACAGATGGGTGTCTCAGAAAGGCGGAAGGCGACGGGCGGGTTTACAAGCTTTGGACTGGTTTTGTGGATCTTGAATTGGCTTTTTCGCCATGGGTTGGCCCGGAAGACTGCCGGGATTCTCACCACTCGTACCTCGTCGCCCGCATTGGAGGTTCGGCGTTGACGAGAGGAGTGCATTTCAGGATATCAGGCACGTTTTTAAGGACATTAAACTTGGCAAGATGTTCAGCTAGACGTGGCCGTTATTTCCAGACTGCGTCTCTGTCAGGTTCAGGCAGCAGTGATGACCGCGGGAAGGCCCCAATTCATAAAAGCAAGGCAGCCATTGATCGATTCTAGCTGCCCTTGAAGCCTTTCGAGGACACAAGGTCGAGTCCCCCAAGCTATAAGATGCCGAAAAGCATGATAATGAATAGCAGCTTCCAAGGCCTAGTCTCCCCACAGGTGGATCTTGACCCGTCTGTCAACATCTGGAGACTTGTCGGCTAGCATGCGTGCTTGCAGCCTGTAGCCAGTGGCCCCGAAAGCTCCGAAGACTTCATGGCTACACGCATTAAAGTTCAGACCCTTATCTAGCGGCCCTCACGCTGCGTCATGTACGGAGTAGCACTCATCATGGGCCTTGGTTTGAACTTGTTGGCTCTTTCCTTATTACGAAGAACCCCTCGCTATTTGCCGTGGGAAAGGAACAAACCAGAGTGAGAAAGTGTCGGTGGGCATTGAGCCCTAGTTTCGAGGCTGTTGTACCCAATACACGTGCAAGCTGCTGTTTTGATGGAAAGAGCGCGGAAGTGCCCCACTGAATAAAAGTACCCTGTACATGTAGACGGACCCCACCATGAAAACATCTGAGTATGACATCAATTGCGAGACGCGAGAAAATTTCATCATAGTTCGAGGTAAGGTGAGGAATGTTGCTCAGAGCTCCAACTCTAATGCTGGAAAATAGACAACCTAGAAGGCGCTAGTAGTACGAAGAAGAGCTCAGCTCCATCAGGTGTGCAACTGTGCAACGTGCCAATGTGAAAAGAAGAATCGGGCAGTCGCTGGAATGAACCAGCAGGGTCAGGAATCTAGGTAGAAACAAAAAGTGCACCGATCCGGAAGCTAAGGCAGGCGCAGAGCCCCAACTAGAAAAACCCAGAAAACAAAGGAAGATTCGGGGAGATGCCTGTTGCAAGGAGCGATGGGTCAATTGGAGCAAGAGCAGGGCTAGAGCCTGATGGCGCGGGAGAGAGTGGAAAACTCTGGTGGTTGCCCTAGCATTCTGGAGCAAGCGCTGGAAGGGAAAAGAACCACATCGAAGTGGCGGGGTACCTCTCGTACCTTCCCGCCCCGCAACGCTCTGAAGTATTAAGCTGCCATCTTCACCATCGAAACCAAGGCCTGGAACTTTTTCTCTTTCCACACACAAAACACAAACCAAACATCCTTCGGAATTTTAGACATATAAAAGAGGAGCTATCCTGATCTCTTCCTCTTTTTTTTCCCCTCCCGAGAAATCTTCTTCCTCGTTGAACCCAAACCAATTCAACGAAATCCATCAAACTCTCTCTTGTTTCCCTCACTTGTTTGCGGGAAGCTCCAAAGATACCCCACGTTCAATCTCACCTTATTTTTTTTTCTTTTCCCTTTTTTCTTAATTCCACACAACACAGATATCCATCATGGCCCCCGCGGTTGGTATCGATCTTGGTACGACCTACTCTTGTGTAGGCATCTTCCGAGATGATCGTTGCGACATTATTGCCAACGATCAGGGTAACCGTACCACTCCCTCTTTTGGTAAGTGCAGACTCAATTGAAAACAGCACATTCCCAAGGGCGGACACTACGTCCACCCCTCCCCCTCTTCGCACTGGTCTCTCCCGATTCCGCACGCCCCCCTCTTTCCCCCACTTCTGCTTGAAGGAGGGGGAGGGGGAGGGGGAGTTGGTCCCAATTGGGACGTGGGAGGGACTGCTTGCGAATTGCTTCCCCAGTCTCCAGACAAGCCACACTGCAACGAGCAAATTGCTAACAAATGTTTCTACAGTCGCTTTCACCGACACTGAGCGTCTCATCGGAGATGCGGCGAAGAACCAGGTCGCCATGAACCCCAAGAACACAGTCTTCGACGCCAAGCGTCTCATTGGACGAAAGTTCGCGGACCCTGAGGTCCAGGCTGACATGAAGCACTTCTCCTTCACTGTCAAGGACGACAAGAGCGGCAAGCCCGTCGTCGAGGTCGAGTTCAAGGGCGAGACCAAGCAGTTCAGCCCCGAGGAGATTTCTGCCATGATTCTCACCAAGATGCGAGAGACTGCTGAGAGCTATCTCGGCACCACCGTGACCAACGCCGTCATCACGGTCCCCGCCTACTTCAACGATTCTCAGCGTCAGGCTACCAAGGACGCCGGTCTCATTGCCGGTCTCAACGTTCTCCGTATCATCAACGAACCCACCGCCGCTGCCATCGCCTACGGCCTCGACAAGAAGCACGAGGGTGAGCGCAACGTCCTCATTTTCGATCTTGGTGGTGGTACTTTCGATGTCTCCCTCCTCACCATTGAGGATGGTATCTTTGAGGTCAAGGCTACCGCTGGTGATACTCACCTTGGTGGTGAAGATATGGACAACCGCCTGGTGCAGCACTTCATCAACGAGTTCAAGCGCAAGCACAAGAAGGATCTTTCCTCCAACGCCCGTGCGCTCCGCCGCCTCCGCACCGCTTGTGAGCGTGCCAAGCGAACCCTCTCTTCGTCTGCCCAGACCTCCATCGAGATCGACTCTCTCTTCGAGGGCATCGATTTCTACACCTCCATCACCCGTGCCCGTTTCGAGGAGCTCTGCCAGGACCTCTTCCGATCCACCCTTCAGCCCGTCGACCGCGTCCTCGCCGACGCCAAGATCGACAAGTCCCAGGTCCACGACATCGTCCTCGTCGGTGGCTCCACCCGTATCCCCCGTGTCCAGAAGCTCATCTCGGACTACTTCAACGGCAAGGAACCCAACAAGTCCATCAACCCCGATGAGGCTGTTGCCTACGGTGCTGCCGTCCAGGCCGCCATTCTTTCCGGCGACACCTCCAACAAGACCACCAACGAGATCCTGCTTCTCGACGTCGCCCCGCTCTCTCTCGGTATCGAGACTGCTGGTGGTATGATGACCAAGCTCATTCCCCGCAACACCACCATTCCCACCAAGAAGTCCGAGATCTTCTCGACCTTCTCCGACAACCAGCCCGGTGTGCTCATCCAGGTCTATGAGGGTGAGCGCCAGCGCACCAAGGACAACAACCTTCTCGGCAAGTTCGAGCTTACTGGTATCCCCCCCGCGCCCCGTGGTGTTCCCCAGATTGAGGTCACCTTCGACATGGACGCTTCCGGTATCATGAACGTCTCCGCCGTCGAGAAGGGCACCGGCAAGTCCAACAAGATTGTCATCACCAACGACAAGGGCCGTCTGTCCAAGGAGGAGATCGAGCGCATGCTTGCCGAGGCCGAGAAGTACAAGGAGGAGGATGAGGCCGAGGCCCGCCGTGTCGCTGCCAAGAACGGCCTCGAGTCGTACGCCTACTCTCTTCGCAACACTCTCAGCGATGAGAAGGTTGACGAGAAGCTCGACGCCTCCGACAAGGAGAAGCTCAAGGCCGAGATTGACAAGATCGTCGCCTGGCTCGATGACAACCAGCAGGCTACCCGCGAGGAGTACGAGGAGCGCCAGAAGGAGCTCGAGGGTGTTGCCAACCCCATCATGATGAAGTTCTACGGTGCTGGTGGCGCCGGTGGCATGCCTGGCGGTATGCCCGGCGGTCCCGGTGGCTTCCCCGGTGCTGGTGGCCCCGCTGGTGGTGCCGGCCACGATGACGGCCCCACCGTCGAGGAGGTCGACTAAATTAGCAACTTCATGATGATGAGATACCCGCAAGGTCCTTTTCCTAGATTGAAAAAGATGGGGGGACGGTTGTTTTGAAGGGGGGGCAAATGGCGGTTAAAACGGCATTACGATGACTCTTTGTTTTTAGACCTTTGATTTCCTCTTTCACGCTTCTTTTCCTTTTTTTTATCGGGACGTTATTGTCTGTCTTTTTTTCCGGCATCTTACGAATACAGGAGATGGAAAAAGCTCGTGGTTATCGAGCCAGGTTCTTTGTACTTTAATGACGAGTCCTTAACAGCTAGGATCGAATGAAAAACAGTTCAAAAGTTTCAAGTGTTTCCAAAAGCCATAACCCATCTGTGAGATGTTTATGATGTTTGTGATCTATAATTGCTGCGTAGACCGGACACTTTGTCACGGCTCAAGTTCTACAAAGTTATATGGTTGGACTTGGCATGAACAAAAGAGCGAATGAGTGTCTTGCTATCTGTTTTTGGTATACTGTCATATAAGTTTTCGTGCCAAGAAGACTGTCGTCCTCTATTTCTCCAACCCCAACTCCCGCCGTATCTCCTTCCTCCTCTCAATCTCCATCAACTGCCACTCCTCATCCGACATATCATCCGGCACAAACGGCTCCCTAAACGCCTCCCCAGGCCTAACCTTCTCATCCCTACTAACCCAAATGTCCTCGCTATTGGGCTTCCCGCCATACTTCTCCAACTCCTTGCGCTTGTAGTGCTCGCGAACCATGTCCTCCTTGACAGCGCCGTGGTAGCCCTTGGCGCGCATGCAGAACCAGAAGTCGTCCCAGAGGTGGGAGCAGGAACGCACGGAGCCCTGGCGGTAGATGGCGTTCCATTGGCCGCCGATGGATTGGCAGGCGTAGGCTTGGTCGAAGGCGGCGCGGCAGGACATGTCTGTCGGTCGGAGGGAGTGGGCGAGGGCTTCGGAGGCGGGCGTGGGATTGGGGGATGTGGAGGTTGGGAGGGGTTTTGGGGGGGTGGAGGGTTCGGAGGAGCGGGAGAGGAAGGGGAGGTAGGTTGCTATGGTGGAGGAGATTGTCGAGGCGATGGGAGAGGAGGAGGAGGAGGAGGAGGGAGGGGAAGATGTTGGTTGTGGTGGGGAGAGAGAGGGCTTTGGGGCCGCTGGCGTAGAGGTTTTGGAGAGGTCGGCTTGGATCTCGGCGAGGAATCTGGTGAGTTCGGAGTCGGCGTCGGATTCGGTGGGTTTGGGGGGCGGAGGGGGAGGAGGCGATTGTTCGGGGGCCGGTCGCGTGGGCGGAGTGGCCGGGGGGGAGGAAGATGCCCAGAGCCAGCCCATGGTGACTTGTAGTTCGCGATTCAAAAATTTGGTGATGGAGATGAACACTTAAGTTTAGATCGGCGGGTATAAGGACGTTTGAATGAACAATTGAAGCCTTTGAGGTAGAATTGGTAGGAACAGGTGAGGAGGTCAGTCCGTAATGGGTGGATGGAGAGGGGTAGACGGTCGTCCGGAGGGAGCGCAGTTCAAATGCGAGGATCTTGGTTGGATCATTGGACGTGACATGCTGCATGAAAACGACCTGATTGACATCCAAACGGACATCGAGATCGGGACGAGGGAAGGTTCTGGGCACGTGAGTTGGGCAGAGCTGAGATGCCAGTGTCGAATTGCTATTGACAGCTGGCGAACGCGGGGCAGATCAGGCATGTCCCATTGTTCCGAGCTTCTGATCGCGTTACCCGACGTCAAAAGTCCAAAATGGGCTTGGCTCTATGACCTCATCCTTTTTTTCGCCATTGCCAAAAGTCGCCTGCTCAGTGCTCACGCGAGATTGAGGTTGCGAGAAGCTCCCGTCCAAGATCTTCTTCGTCTTCTTCAGATCTCCTCTTTCCCTTTCATTCTTTAAAACATTTTTTCCCCTTGCAAATGAGAATGGTTTAAAGCAACCCACGGAACCTGAGCCTTGTTCCTGCAGACAAGATGTCGAGGAGCTTGGGCTACACCCCGCTGCTTCGGCCACTTCGGCAGCCTGTGATGCCATTGCCATTCCCGCGGCAGCTACCTCTATATCGACAGGTTCCGAGGACATGTGCGGGAACTACGCGATGGCAGAGCTCCGCCGCGACCGATAAAGAAGAGGGGACCATTCCCCAGGAAAAGGACCGCGGGCACATTGCCAAAAGCAAGGCCGAATCCCTTGCTTTTTTCGATAGTAAGCAGAGCTAAGGTGAATCGGGGAGGTGTTGGTATTTTTGATGCCCGAGCTCACTTTTGCCTAGACTTGTTCCCGCTCAAGCTTAGCTACGTCCTCCGCGGGCCTTGGCGCAATGACACCCAGTTTATCAGATCGTTCGAATCTGCGCGGTTTGGCTTGAACGACCCCGTCAACACTATTCAGCGCGCGACGGCCGATTTGCCTTTGAAGATTACCGAAATTGTGCCTCGTGTCAAGGATGGTGGCGCTTTTGTTAAGTTTGCCTATAACGAAGATGTCCCTCTCAGTGAAATCGAAGGTAAGAACGATGCATTTCTAGAGAGCCCTTTCTAAGTAAGCAATGACGCTGAGATGATAAACAGCCAAGCTCTCCCAGGTCCTCGAAGAAAAGGCCCTGAAACCATGGTTCAACCCGTTCGCAAGAGTAACCGCTGGTATCGTCCGTGGTATCCCCTGGCTCGAAGACCTCAACCGGTTCCCCAAGAATCGGATCAGGGTCGAATTCGTCCCGCGAGAGCCCGGCGAAAACGCCGTCGAGCTCTACCAGGAAACGCTGTACAGCCTCTTTAGACAATACGGAAAGATCGCCGAGATCACCTCGCAGCCCGCAGACTCCAAGGTAGTTCCTCGCTTCGCGTACGTCGACTTTATCCTCGTGCGTGATGCCATCATGGCGAGGAATTGTATGCATGGTTTCGTCGTCGGTGAGGCGCTTGGCGGCGGTAAGGAGGGAACCCGGCTTCGAATCTCGTACGAGAAAAAGACCAAGCCGCATAGCATCTGGAATTGGATTACGTCGCACCCAAAACTGGTCATTCCCCTCATAGCTGCGATGCTTGCGGCCCTGTCCGTAGTCATCTTCGATCCGATCCGCAAGTTCTTTGTCAAGTCCTATGTTAAGCATAAGACATCTGTTACGGCCAACAAGTTTATCGGGTGGATCAAATCTAAGACGGACAGGCTCTGGAGCAGTAGCCGAAAGAAGGACAAGAAGCTGAGCCTCTCCGCCTTTTGGAACCAACGACAAGGCCTCATCGAGGACATTTCTTCCGGTCTGGCTGATCCCTCGGGCACTTTTATCGTCGTCCAGGGCTCCAAGGGATCCGGGCGATACGAACTCGTCGAGCAGGCCCTGAAAGAGCGGAAATACGTCCTGAATGTTGACTGCAAGGCCATCAGCGAAGCAAACGGAGAGACAGGCGTTATTCGAAAGTTAGCAGCCGCCGTCGGATACCGTCCCATCTTCTCCTGGGCCAACAGCATCAGCAGCATGATCGACCTCGCCGTGCAGAGCACTACGGGAGTCAAGGCCGGATTCTCAGAGACGTTCGAGGCTCAACTTGCCAAGATCTTCCATACCACCGCTAGCGCTCTTAAGGAGGTCTCGCTCTCCAGCCGACCCGACAAGGACACCGAAACGGAAGAAGCATTCCTACAGTCTCACCCCCAGGACCGGACTGTTGTTGTTGTCGACAACTTCCTCTACACCAGCGAAGAGAACAAGTCGCGAAGCAACGTCATCTACGACAAGGTGGCTGAATTCGCCGCCACGCTCGTCCAGAACAACATCGCCCACGTCATCTTTCTCACCAGCGATGTGTCCTTCGCCAAGGTACTTTCCCGAGTTCTCCCCGACCGAACCTTCCGCCACGTTGTCCTCGGCGATTTGCCTCCCGAAGTTGCCAGAAAGTACATCCTCACGCGCCTCGAGGAAGAAGAAGAACGCGAAGGAGCAAAGAGACCTGAGAATGGAAAAGACGACGCCGCTAAGAAGATCCCTAAGCCCGACCCCGTCGAGCTAGCAGCCAGCCTCGAAGTCATCGGCGGCCGCCTCGATGACCTCGAACTCTTCGCGACCCGCCTCAAGAGCGGCCAAAACCCCAACCAAGCTGTCGACGAAATCGTCAACCTCTCCGCCTCCGAAATCGTAAAGAACTACATCACCCGCGACACCCCCTCCTCAGTTGACGACCAGAACCCCTGGACCGTCGAACAAGCCTGGTGGCTCATCAAAACTATCGCCGAACGTAAATCCATCACCTACGACGAAGCCCTCCTCAGCGCCCCCTTCTCCGCCTCGTCCACCTCCCCGCGTAAATCGCTCGACGGCCTCGTAGCCACCGACCTCGTCTCGCTCAAATCCCGCCGCGGGTTCCCCGTCTCCATAGAAGCCGGGAAAGCCACCTACCGCGCCGCCTTCAAGCTGCTCGCCCGCGACGCGGCGCTCCGCGCGCGCATGGATCGCTCCGTGCTTTCGACGCTCGCCAAGGCCGAGAAGGCCAAGATTGAGGCCGCCGAGAAGGAGTTGGCTGTGTTGGCGGGGTTGCCGCCTAAGGTGGCTGCTGAGGCGGGTGAGAGGGTGAGGTACTTGGTGGGGAATTTGGCGGAGAGTCAGAGGAGGATTGTGGAGTTTGAGGGGGAGATGGGGAGGTTGAAGAGGGTTGGGGTTAGTGGGGGTGAGGAGAGCAAGCAGAAGAGCTGGTGGAGGAAGTGGTTCTGAAGAGAAAACCAGAGAGTGGGAGTGGATTGACGAGGGAGGAGAAGAAGAGCATGTGTATCATGTGTATAGTATTACCCTGGGAGGGAATGGACAGAGGAGTGTGTCGATGAACACCTCTACTCATCACTCTGTAGGAATTGAAAGATAGACTTATACCAACTTTTTGCCTGCAAACCTCTTCGCTGGCCTTGGAGATCCTGGTCCCGGAAACCAAGCGAAGCGCTTCAATTCAACTCCAGCAACTATAATACTCATTCCCTCATCACAACCTCCCATCCCACACATTACACCTCGAAAGAAGAGAGAAAAGAGAAACCACGCAGCTCAAACCACTACTCATAACGAGGATACAGGACGAAAATTATAAATAAAAAAAAATAAAAAATAAAAAGAGAAATCCCTCCCTTTTGCCCCCCCAAAGAGAAAGAAAATACAAAGTTCCGAAACGCCTTATACGCCTCCATCTTTTCTTTTTTCCCATGTTCAGCAAGCATCGACAAGCCTCCACCACCCCCAAACCCGGTGGACTTCCTTCCACCTCGTAGACGGGTTGTTTTGCTTTTCCTTCCAAGAAAGTAAAGACTAAACAAATAGGTATTCGTATGTAGCTTCAACAGTACGAGACAGTAAAGGAAATAAAATAAACAAAGTGTTATGCCGCTCAGGGGGTTAAAAGAAACAAGAACTCTTTACTGGTCCTCCTCCGGCGGGGGAGTAAAGACTTCGCAGGCCTGGGCGAAGAAGATCCGCGCCGGCCGATCATAGTCATTCTTGATGCTGTAGTAGTTTCCTATCGAAGGAGTTAGTTTTCGATGCCAATAAAAATTGTATCGTAGCAAAAGAGGGCCATTGCGCGAACATACCTCGAGGGACAAACCACTGCCCACCAGCACTAATCCGAAACTCCGTCTCATTCACAGTAACCAACACTTTCCCGTAAAACACAAAGAAAACCATCTGCATCTTCCGCGAATTCTTGGGCTTCTTCTCCGCGCCGGGCGGCAAATCGACGATGCCGGACCCCATGAACGACATGTTGAGCGTCTTGGCGAAGCGGAACGATGCGTCGTGGATGTCTCTCGTGAGGATGGCGTCCGAGGAGACGGCCAGCTGGTCCTCGACGACCTCTACGTGCGCGTCGTTACTGGGCGGGTAGAGCTCGTGCTGGGGTTCCCATAAGACCACGTCGCCTGAGATGACGCCGGGGTCTCGCTCCCACTCCTCGGGTTCTTCTTGCTCGTCTTCTTCTTGTCCTTCCTCTTGGGCCGCTGCGCGTCGCTTGCCTGTTGGTTTTCGTCCTCGGGTGTGCTTCTTTCGAGCCCTCCTCGTGTCCTCCTCGTCGTCTTCTACGCGAATCACCTCCTTTATGCTCGGCAGAACCATGCGGCGGTTTCGGTACGTGTCGTCTTGGACTTCTTCGTTGTCGTACGTGACGTGCTCGCCCTTCCAGAACTCTAGAGGCTTGTAGGAATGTCGGCCCGAGCGCGTTTGCACGATACTATTCGCGTCGCGGCGGATGGAGACGAGACCCCGCGCCTTGGGTAGCGGAGGCCCGCGCTGGACTTCTAATATTGATGTGTCCTCGGGAGGATTTCGCGCTTGCGCCTGCGACTTGGGTTTACGACCCCTGCGCTTCGTCGGGGCGATGGCTGGGGCGGCGGCCGGCTTGGGTTGGGCGGTACTGCTCGTCTTTTGCCTCTTCTTACTTCGATCTCGGGGGCCCTCATCCTCCTCCGCCTCCTCCCCTTCTTCATCGCCATCAGGTGACGCCCTCGTTCGACGCTTCGACGTGTTCGGTGCGACTTTCTTAGGAGGTCTCCCCGGTTTCCGGCCGGGGCGGGACACGACGACATCTTCGTCGTCGTCGTCGTCATCGTCGTTGTCGTCGTTACCTGGGTCATCCGTAGGCGGCGCGGGCGGGTCTTCCTCCGCTATTGGCACTGGTTTCGATGCCTTAGCAGTTTTGGGCCGACCTCGCCTTCCAGGCTTCGGCCGTACTTCTTCCTCCGCCGACTCTTCCTCCGCAGGCTGTGCTACCGTGTCGTCATGAATGCTGTTTCCTAAGGGTGAGTCGTGGACGAGTTGGAGCGAGTCATCGGCGGTAGACCCTTGAAGAATGGCGTCATCCTCATCGCGGTTATCGCTGGAGAGACGGCCCGACGTTCTACGCGTCCCGTTCGTCTTCTTCGCACGCGTCGTCCCATTCACCTGACCTCTCCTAAGGTCCAGCCGCCTCGTGACAGTATGGTCGTCAGAGTCGTTAGTATCGTTCGATCGCACTATGGAGCCGCGGCTGGGGGAGGAAACTGGGCCGAGATGGGGGTTTTTTAGGGCGGGGGATTGGAGGTTAGTCTTGGCGGGCGATTTGCCTCGAGGGATGGGCAGCCTTGTGGATTTTTGCGCGGCGAGGATAGTAGAAGGACCGGGTCCGGAAGCTGTGAAGGTGAGGCGGCTAGGTTAGAGACGGCAGAAAGAAAAATAGAGCGCGTCAAGGGAGAAGACGCATGATGGGCAACAGATCGGGCGCGCCTTGAGCTGTTTTCCTGGGAATCCCGTTTCGAATACTCACTGTCTAAATCCATATCCTGCTCCCCCGTCTGATCACTTCCGCTAGGCGTCGCCGCGACTTTTCTCGGCGATGAAAAGAGGCCGTCGAGCGGTTGCATGCCATGTTCGTCGAGGGTGCCCGTGTCAGGTAATGTTACACCGGTTTTCCTGTCGTCGAACGCATCAATACCATTCACGTCCTTTTGCCTACTTCGTTTGTCGACTCCATTGAGGGACGCAGTGAGGAGCAAACGGAATCAATAACAAATAATAAAACGTACCGGCCCTGCTCTCCGAGCTCGTAGATGCGACCCGGCACCTTGCTGGCACCTCGGGGCGCCATCGTGTTGCGTGGTTTGCTCTGACAGTGTTCGCGCAGGCGCTTGTTGTGATGGCGGATAGAGCGAAAGAGCTGGCGTTTCCGGGAATTTTATCCGCCCAAGAGGAAACGAAACAAGGCGCGAACGTTCGAGGCGTTGGGAGGATTGAAAAAAAAGCACCTGAAAGCGCGAAAATAAATGGGGAAAGAGGACAAATTAGGAAGAGAGGGGTTTGTGAGAGAATTGTTTTTATTTTCTCTTTTTTTTTTCCCTCCTTTGGCGTGATGTTTTCCCCCCAAGCTCTTGTGGAATGTCAATTTACGTGGGGAGAGGGAGCTACCCAACGGTGCAGTGGCGGGCGATAGGTGATGGTGACGATGAGAGAGGGAAACAATTGAGGGAATGGCGTCGTGTTGGCGTGTGGTGCGTGTTTGGCGGGTTTGAATTGATGTGGATGTTTGTGGTTAGTGCCTTGCTAAGGTGCAACTGCCTTTTAGGATACATAGACACGGATGGACATGGAGGCTGGCAACGTTCGAGGCAGCACGTTGGAAGTCCAAGTACGAAGGTACAGCGCTGCTCCTGGATCAGGCTGGGCGCATCGAGGTATTATCCTAGTTGTCGTCGTTCAGGAAGTTCTTCGGAGAGAAAGAGACTTTGAGATCGATCGGTGATGGAGAAGTAATACCGCCAAGATAGCGACATCGACGGATTGGTATGATGCAAAGACAGGACCAGAAACTCGGAGCTTGCCCGAGGGCATCTAGGAATACCGTGGGGCCTGGTCAGCCAAGTACAAGGACACTTTCAGGACCCTCGTCCGCGCGGGCTTGGGTACCTCAGTACCTCAGTACACAGGCAATAATGGATTTGATGGACATGGACAGATCTGCCAGGCCCAACGGTCTGACACTCAATGAGCCCCGCTCAGCCCGCCAGCCAGCTGCCAGTGGAGAGCGAGAGGGCAGCGAGGAGAGCTGATTTCCTTCTCTGGATAACGCGTCCAGCACTAACGACTTCCTCGTTTTGACGCGTCGAGGGGTCCATTTTCTCTCATGAACATTCGACCACATCACCGAACCTCCGAACTTTTGTCCCCAGAATCAATCAGCGAAAGAACCGAAGGCACACCGAGTCGATCAGAAAGGCATTGCGGACTAAATCGACGACGAATCTGCGAGAAACCCAACATCAATTGCTCGTACAGACTCTGCCGCCAGCCACTAAGACAATCCCATTATCGCATCTCTCCCTCGAAGCTTCTCCCAAGTTCACCGAAACCTCTTGGCTCTAAACCCTTCACTCAGCTCAACCTTCACAATGCCGGACTCACAACCCTCCCCAACCGAATCCACCCCCGAAGGCCCCTTCATCCCCCCCTCAATCCACCGCACCGCCCTCCTCTCCGGCGCAACCTTCACCCACTACTCCCCCCTCCCCCCAATCCTCTCCTCCCCCTCCTCCCCATCCACTCCAATCCCCACCCAAGACCAAGAAGAATTCATCCTCGGCGTCGACGAAGCCGGCCGCGGCCCCGTCCTCGGCCCCATGGTCTACGCAGTCTTCTACCTCCCCAAACCCCTCTCCACCCCGCTCCTCCGCGAAACCCACCACTTCGACGACTCCAAAGTCCTCACCCCGGCCACCCGCACCTCCCTCATGCGCACCCTCTGCACCTCTTCCTCGGACCTCTACGCCTCCTGCGGCTGGGCCACGAAAGCCCTCTCGGCGCGCGACATATCGGCCAACATGCTCCGCGCGGGGCCGGCGCATAACCTTAACGCGCAGGCTATGGACGCCACCGTGGAGCTTATCAAGGGCGTTATTGCGAAGGGTGTTAATGTGAAGGAGATTTATGTCGATACGATTGGGCCGCCGGCGAGTTATCAGGCCAAGCTGCAGAGGTTTTTCCCGACGGTCAAGATTACAGTTGCGAAGAAGGCGGATAGTCTGTATCCTTGTGTCAGCGCTGCGTCGGTTTGTGCAAAGGTGACGCGCGATGTTGCGCTCGAGGTTCTATACGAGGCGCTCCACCGGGGGAACGAAGCAAACGATGAAGAGGGAGATGGTGCCATGGCCTGGGGCTCGGGGTATCCCTCCGACGCGAGGTGCGTCTCGTGGCTGAGGGGTAACATGCACCCCGTGTTCGGCTGGGGCCCCGAGTGTAGACAGAGCTGGGGCACGGCGAAGGATATGCTCGAGGGGAATACAGGAGTCAAGGTCGATTGGCCTGCGGATGATGATGGTGAGACGGCGAGGGTGACGGATTATTTTGGTGCTGCGGCGGGGGATGGGAATGAGTTGGGGACTTGGTACGGGACTCCGGCTGGTCTTGAGGCGTTTTGAGGAGAAATGGTGGGACTTTTATATATATGGGGTTATGAACTCTTGTGGATTATACACTATTAATGGTTACGGGGACTCGGCGTTTTGTTTTCTAGTTGGAATTATTAGATGACGAATAAGGAGTCAATGGATATTCACTCTCAAGTTTCATAGGGGGATCCCTCTCATAGAGCCAACCGTCAAAATGTATATCCTATTCGAAGCAAAAAGAAGAGGAAAAGAAAAGCAAAAACAGGTTGTAATACAGCAACAACAGCAAAAGCTTAATCTCGACCAGAACGAAAAGAAAAACATTCTATACCCATCTCATCATTACAAGCCCAAATCCGAGCTCCAAGCAAAAAAAGGCAAAGCAAAACCCGCATTTTTAAATATCATCATCGTCCGTCCTCGTCCGCCTCTTCCCCCGACTATCCAGCGTATCCAGGCTAATCCCATCCGCGCTGTCCTCCCGCGCCGGCATCGCGAGCGCCTGCCTCGCCGTGTCCGAGTTGACGAGGAATTCCCTCAGTCGCTGCTTGCCGAGCTCGACGCCCTGGTTGGCGGCGGCGTTGGCCATTTGCAGCATGGGGCCGAGAAGGTTGAGGGTGTAGGCGATGTAGGTTCCGCCGGCGATGATGATGATGAGGAGGAATAGGAAGGGGTTGCGGAGGACTGTAAAAATCACTTTGTTAGCATCAGGAGAGAAGACGCATGGTTGTGAGAAGAGAAATAGAAACGTACCCATGAATATTTCATTCCACCCAAGCGCAAGCAGCAACACATAGAAGTACCAAGGCACCTGCGCCACACCACCAATAGCTCCCCTCTTCGCCTCAACATAAACCCCGTCCGCCGTCTTCTTGAACCTTATAACAAGATCCTGACGTTTACTCTCGCTCAGGATCGTCATCTCCTCCTCAAGGCTCTTGCCCTCATCCTCATCAACGCCACCAATAGGAGCGAGGTCCTCCTCATCACCAGCCTCGACACCGCGCGGCTGGGGCCCTATCCAGCGCGGCAGATCCGGCGGCGCATATGTCTCAGCGAGACGGAACCTCGCGAGCAGCGGTACGAGCGCGAGGGTCGACTCCCTCGCCTTGGTGTACACGCCCTCGATGTCGTCGGTGGGGCGCCAGATCCGCGGGACGCCCGCGTCGTCGTAGCGGAACTTGTCCTCGAAGTTCTCGCGCAGCTTGAGGAGGATGTTCCCCTCCATGACCTCGTCGTCGATCTTCTCCCGCAGCGCGACCCAGCTCTTGCGACGCAGGCGCCAGAGCCCCACCTCGACCTCGTCGACGCTGGCCTCGAAGCTGCGCGCGCGGTCGGTGAAGCGCGTCTCGGCCTCGCTGACGATGTCGGTGAACACGCTCCATATCCTGTCCCAGAGATCCTTCTCGGCCGTCGGCTTCTCGATGGGGGTGGAGGCCTCCTCGGGGATGACGCTGGACCCGGACCTACCGGAGCCGAGCTTGCTGAATTCGAGCCCGATCGAGTCGCCGAGGCGGGACTTGACCCAGCGCTCGACGCGCGTGGCGAGGCGGCGGAGTTCTTCCTTTCGAAGCTTGCTGCTTACTTCGTCGAGCTCCCTCTCGAAGATGAGGTATTGCGGCTTGAAGTTTGTCCAGGACAGGCCCTCGATCGCCAAACCCTTCGCCTCGTCCCTGAAGATCTCGAGAACCCTCTCCTTCTCCTGGGAGACGATGTCGGCGAAATCGTAGCTTCCGCCTGCCTTCTGACCGGCTTTCACCTTGTTAGACACGGACTCGGTGAACGAGGCAACGCCGGACTTGTGGCAGCTCGTCAGCTGGCCGAGGTAAAGCGCCTTGAGCCTCGTGTCAATCTTGGCCTCGAGTTCTGCTCGTTTCCGCGTGTAGACTCCCTTGTGATACCGACCAGCTTGCACCTCGAAATTCTCAACGCATCGTCGGCGAGCCGACCTGCCCGTCTCGCCAAGGTCATCCAGCACCACTGGCTTTCCAGCCCTGACGCCGTCGGCCTGTTGCTCCTCCAACGGGGTAATGGTATCATCAAAAGCGACGAGCACTTCCCGGGAAATCTCGTCGCATCGGAACTGGGCAAGAAGCTCTTGCTGGGTTGGCAAGTCGAGATCCTTGTTGTCCACGATCAGGTCCCAGACACCCTCGGCGTACTTGGAAAAACCATCGGCGGGGATGCGCCTGTGGTACTCGGGGAGGAAAACACCGCCCTCGAGCTCGTGGTCCCCATGCGACCCTTGCTTTGCGGACCGGGTGCCGGCGGTGAAGCGCGCACCGAGGTTGTTGACCTCGGAGTCGAATTTCTCGGCCTGGAGGACCTTGTGGGGGAGAGCGGCGAAGGCGAAATCGAAGTAATCCTCGATGCGCGAGGTCTCGAGACCTTGAGGCTTGGAGATGGAGGACCAGATCTTGGTCAAATCCTGAATCAAGGTGTTGCGAAGATTGGCGAGGGGGGTAGTGCCGATATGGTCGCGAATGACGAAGAAGAGTAGTGATCGGGGATTAGATCTAGGACCGATCACGTCAGCGAGACATCGTCGCGCAACGCGAATAAAACAGGTCATTGGGGGGGAACATACTGCTTGTTGTCCTTGAGGAAGAGCTGGAGATTCACCTCAAACACAGTCTTGAGCAACCCCATATTTGCGCCCTGGTACAAGCCGACCTGGTGTTCCCAGATATTCACAATGAGGACCTCGCTCGTCGCAAGAGCAAACAAGGCACTCTTCCGCTCAAAATCCTGGTCCTCGCCACGCTCGCGACCGTCGGTACCCTCGACGTCCATAACCAGAATGTTATCGGCCATCTTGACTTTGGCGTCGCCGGTCCCGCCAGTCTCCCTCTTGTTCTTCGCAAGCCATATGCCCTTGGTGGTCTGCCGCCTCTCGGACTCGGACATTACGGAGAACTGGGTGCCGAAGAGGTTGTTGAGAAGGGTCGACTTGCCGGTCGATTGCGATCCGAAGACGGAAATGAGGTGGTAGTTGAATCCAGCATCGGCAACATTGGTCTGGCGGAGGTAGGATATCAAGTTGGAGCTGCAAGCAAAGTAGTCGCCACGTTACTACGTCTGTTTTCTTTTACGACTATACTGCTCTCGTGACAAGCGCGGCAAGGGAGGGGTTGGGGGATGCTTCACACATACTTGAAGGTCTTGTCTTCGTCTATGACTTGGATTCCATGCTCGTACTTTTCGGCGCTTGGCCCTTCGCCAATGGCGGAAAGATGGCCGTTCATGGTTGTTGAGGAATGCGAGTAGAGGGAATAAGGGTTAGGGGGGAGAAGAGAAGGGAAAACAGGTGGTATAGTCTATAGAGTCATAGGAAAAGATGAAGATAAATAAATCAGATGGAACTTGCTATGCTGGGTGGGATTATTAGGATTAAGAGAAGGAGTTGGGCCGTTGTCCAAGTTGTAGGTTTGGTCGCGTTGGCATGAGGAATTGTCGGGACGACGAGTTGGTCGAATGTGACCAGATTGCCTTGTGATCAAAACGCAAGATTTCGGCAACGTTGAATTCAGGCTTGTGCTGTGTGTCTGTTAATAGTACAATTGTACGAAGGTGTGCTGGAATTGATATTAGTGCCGAGCAGTGCGGTCTGTTGGGACCTGGACCACTGACACCTCGAGCTGCCAACTGTACTAACCCGTCAGCGGTCCTCGGGCCATGAGGCCAAAAATGCACCTTCATCTGAATTTTGAGTTTAAAGTTGTTGGTGATTATGTCAGCAAAATCTTAGGTAACCCACACAATCGAGCAATTTGGGCATTGTCCTTTTGAGAAAAGAGAAGCGAGTGCCAGAACCCTCAACACTGGGAGATTAAGAAGTCGGGCCAACATTGCTTGGGGAGCTATGTCCTTTCACACATCCTCCTACGCGTTCGCTCTCTACGCTGTAGCTATGGGTCCAGCCAATTCAGCCGAGTTACCATCATGGAGCTTGAAGTCCTGGTTCCGCACGTCGATCTGCAACCCTCGACGTAAATCCTTGAAGACTTACTTCGCACCATAAGTGGGAAGAACCGAGGAGCTCTTACAAGTGAGAGAAGCTCCGTCATAATTCTTTCTTTGTCAGTGTCCCTTCAAATACCTGCCATTCACGTAACCCCTCAACGAACCGCTTCAGACCCTCTGCCCGACCATCGCAAAATGGCCCGTTCTAGATTCCAGGCCACGGCAAAGCTGCCCGTCCCAGCCAGAGCGCTCCATTGAGGGAAAATAGTTTAGCCATGGCGCAGCCCGCGGGAAGATGCAGGCGCGGAGATCATGTACCGCAGATCGGACTTGGAGAATCTCCTACCGGGATTGATGCTCTTCGTCTTCGGGCTCACGTTGCACAAAGCAGCACGGTCATCTTGACGTCGATGAGTAGGGTCTAGGAGCTCGCAGCAATAGACCTATCTCCTTTTTTCTCTATGTTCTGACCCGACCTAGACTTGTACTTCTCGGTTTCCTTATTCTCCACTCACGTTGAAACTCTTTCGTGAGGTAAACAGGATTGGTTTCGGCACCAGATAGCTCCGCCGAGACTTCACTTTGACCCAGCCCGTCCCAATACATCGATGCCGTTGCCAAGTCGAGACAAAGCGCAAGTGCCGACAGAGGTCCAGACCCTTTTTCCTCTCTAGAACCAAGCCGGAGATCAATCAAGCGAGCAAGACTTATTATGTAAACTCGGCGATTTCGCACAAATGCAAGACTCCAAGAACGTAACTTTGAACGAATCGAACCACTTGCACCGAGTGGTCCTCCCGAATGAATTATCAAAAGGGCCCCAAAAGGGCCCAAGCGATGACGGCCCCGGCCAGACGATCCGGTTCAACGTTGGATCCAAGTTGTCTGGGAGAGTCTAGACTCGTAGACTCAAAGTTCTAGCTAGAAACACTTAAAAAGGGCACCTTTCCCCATCGCCAACTGCAAACCCACTTCCAATCACCTATTTCTTCTTCTCCTCTTGCCTTGCTTGACCATACATCGACTTTTCCCCATCAACTTGTGCAACTTCCCCCAGTTAAACCAAATATAATACCAGCCTGCCCAAAATGCTCTTCACCGAAACCCACGTCGACGTCACCACCGTCGCAAATGGCAAGGAGACTTCCATGCGTAAGCCTCTCTAATAACCTGCCTCCGACTCCGGATCTTCCCCTCAAGCAGCTCCAGCTCGAGCTCTTCTCAAGCTCTCCCTTGCCCCACCACTAACCTCCTCGACCAGGGATCTTCGTCTTCACCCCGACGGTGCCCCAGTATCCCAACGCGTAAGAATACCAATTGACATCAATCAAATTCCTTTAACTGTCTTAATTCTGATTATCTCGCAGTAAATTCCCAGGCGTCCTCCTCTTCAGTGAAATCTACCAAGGTGAGAGGGCTCTAGAACCTAAGGAAAGCGGGGTTCCCTATTTTACCCCTCATCACCAAGACTGGGGCAGCCAAGCTTCAACTGGGGGCCAAGCTTACCCCCCCCCGCATCGTAACCAGACCAGTGAGCTTACAATCCCGTAACAATCTAGTCTCCGGCCCCGTCGCCCGATTCGCCCGCCTCATCGCCGGCTACGGATACATCGTCGCCGCCCCAAGCTCCTACCATGACTTTACCGGCCCGGACCCCCTTCCCTATGACGGGCCCGGAACGGACCAGGGTAACGAGTGGAAGATCACAAAGGTCAATCCCCAAGCACCCCTCCAATCATTAATACCACCATTCCTAACAGTTTTCCAGACTCTCGAATCCTACGATGAAGATGTCAAAAAGACCGTAGATTACCTCCTCACTCATCCGAACTGCAACGGCCGCATCGGCGCCACCGGCATGTGTCTCGGCGGCCACCTCGCCGTCCGCGCAGCCGTAAGTCCTTTCCCCCCTTTCCAACCCAAAATTTCACCTTAAAATTATTTGGAAAAAAAAAAAAAAAAGAAGAAAAAGAGAGAGAGAGGGAAGAAAAAAAAAAAAAAAAAGAAAGATCCTATTTTCTAAAATTCCCCCATCCAGCTCGACCCCCGCATCTCCGCCGTAGTCTCCTTCTTCGGCACCGACATCCACTGCCGCTCCCTCGGCCCCCACTCCGCCCGCAACGCCTCCCCCGCCACCATCCCCTCCTCCAACCACACCCTCGACCGCCTCCCCGAGCTCCGCTCCGCCGAATTCGCCCTCATCTTCGGCGTCCAGGACACCCACGTGCCCCCCGAGGGCCGCGACCTCATCCGCGCCAAATTCCGCGAGGCAGGGCTCGTCACCAGCTTCTACGAGTTCGCTTGGGCCCAGCACGCCTTTATCAGGGATGAGTTGAGCAAAGGTAGGTATGATCCCCAGATTACAAAGGTTTGCTTCGAGGTCTTGTTGGAGCTTTTTGGGAGGGTTTTGAAGACCGAGGTTGGGGACAGGGATGCTACGCCGAAGGAGCTGGAGCATGTTTGTTAAAGGGGGAGGGAAGAGGAGTTTGTTAAATAGAATGTTTCTTTTGAATCTGCTAGGACGATGAAGTAGATGGGGTGAGCTAGGATCGAGGCGACGAAACGTTCGTCTTGAACCGAGGAAGCCATACAATTGCGTTGTCGTAGTATAGAAGCAGAAGAAGAAGAAAAAATTGTGAATAAAAACCAAGTCTAAGTACGGCTTTAGATGGACCTCGTATAATTTTTTTTACACTCATCCCAAACTTCGATCCCATTGATGCCGCAGTATTCCCATCTCCAGCCTCATTACAGTCCCAGGATAACCAACCAGCCTTTCCAGCCATCTTGTTGTAGCCCGGGGACTCCCAATATATCCCATACAAAAATATGCAAAATTGTCATTCCATGTGTTTTGATATTTTCCCTCTGCTGATTCATTCCATGCATTCGAGGTCCCTTTGGGCCATCAGTCTAATTGTTGTAGTATTTCATTAAAATAGGAAAAAAAAGAAATCAAGGTTCCCCTTCACATTTTTACCGCGGGGGACCCGGGAAAGGCGGCCTCATCTGCCCCTGCCCTTGTCCTTGCTGTGGCTGTCCCTGCTGCGGATATCCCCCAGCCAGCGGCCGCCCTTGCTGTTGCTGCTGCTGCTGCTGTCCAGCAGTCTGAGCCTGGTACGGCTGAGCCTCCTGCACAGTACCCATAGGATAGACAGAGTAACCCGTATTCGCACCGCCCGTCACGGGCGACTGCGTGAACCCGCCCGGATTAAGCGGCGACGCCGGCGACCGCGAACCGAGCTGCGCCTCCTCGTCGTACGTCCGGCGGGAACTCGTCCGCGCCATGGCGCTGCCGCTACCGGGTTGCAAGTTCGTATTTATGCTCATCATGGGACCGCCCGCTCTGGACGAGACAGATCCCGAAGATAGGCCTTCGCCGGCCTTCCGGAGGCCGCGGTTGCTGCTGTGACTCTCGCCTCGCTTCACGTGGTCGACTCCGGTCGCGTGCGAGTCACCGCCGTGCTCGAACGAAGTGCGCGTGTTGTGGTTATCGTGAGAGTGTAGCGTCTTGCTGTCTTCTCGGTTGAACCAATCGTCGTGACTACCGGCAGGAGGGTGTTGTTGTTTTGATGCAGCGGCATCAGTAGATGCGTCCTCGGCGGCGGGGGTTACCGAAGGCACCATGCGTTTAGCCTCCTTCTTATCCTCGGCCTCCTTGCGATTGTTGGCAGCTTGCTCGTCACTCACGGTAACCGAGTACGACGGGTTGCCAACGCTTCCGAGAACCTCGTTGCCGCCACCAGGTCCATAGATGGGAATCTTCTTGAGAGCCTTGGCAAGCGCGCAGATGAACTTGGACCGGCGCGTAGCCCTGACGCCGTCGTTGTGCCAGTTGGACTTGTGCTTGATGACGACCTTGAGGTTGAGCTTGTCCAGATCGCCGACGCCGCCGACGCCGATGCCGAAATCGGGCTGGAAGTCCCTCGAGTTGTCCGGGTGGCGCACGAACTTTTCCATCTCGGCGCGGAGGAGCTCGATGTCCTCGAAGGTCGTGTCGTACGAGATGTTGACGTCGATGCACTCCTTCATGGCCTTGCTTCGGGTTACGTTCTCGATCCACATGTTGTTGAGCTGGATGTTGGGTGTCTGGACGACTTGCATCTTGTCGATGCGGACGAAGACCGTGTACAGAAGCGAAATCCTCTCGACTTGAAGCGTCAGCTTTTCTCCAGCACCCTGGATATCGACCCTATCGCCGACGTCGTAGGGATGTTTGACGAAGAGGAAAATGCAGGAGCCGAGGAATTCCTGGGTGGTGACGGCGAAGACGAAGGACAGAGAAAGGAGCGCGGTTCCGGCTGTGGCGAGTGTGGTGATGAAGCTGCTCTGGAAGAAGGCAACTGTAGATCACTGGTTAGCACACACGCCAGAAAAGGAAGGAAAGAAAGGAATCAAACCTACGGAAAATGAAAATGACAATCAACAAGACGATAAAGAGAAGTACTTGGTCGAAAACCTGAAGGGCCTGGCCAATATCCTTCATACCCTCGCTAATCGCCTTCCGCTCCTTTCCAATATCGACAACCTTGCGCACCATCTCCTCGAGGCTGATATCGCCGTTCTCATCAACGTCGACAACGGCAAAAGCATCCTCGGCCTGGTCCCTATGCTCGGGGCCGAGCACCTCGATAATGTCGTCCAACAGGAGACTCTCCTGGCCCTCGACGGCAAAGGACATCCAGATACGCCTCCCGAGCGCCTCGGACGACTTCACCTTCTCCAGCGCCTCAACGACGATGGAGTGTGCCGAGTTGGGGTTGAAGACCTGCTTCCCGGTAATCTCCGACGCAATGTTACCAAAGACGGACGTGACCTTGTCTCCCAGACGACCGACGTCACCGATGATGCGCATGGGGGCGGTAGATCCCTTCTTTTGGCGGAGGATCAGGTCGATGCTATCGTTGATGATGTAATCCTCCTCAGCAAACTCGGGGCAGTACATGGGGAACAGGGAGCGCGAGGCATCGTAAAGGATGCCGAGCAGGCGGACCTCGTGCTTGGAATCCTTGATGCGATTGGCGAAGGAGCGCTGATGATACGAAATGCCGATGAGCTGGACGATGGCTTTTTCAGCGAGGTAGACGGCGGAGGAGACGAAGGAGGCGCCGAGGACACGTCCAAAGTTGCGAACCCAGACAATGTCATCATTGTTGGCTTGTTGGAAAAGGCTGCGGAAGGTGACAAACGAGGCCAAGGCCCAGAAGAAGAAGGAGAAGGGGAGGACTAGGTTTCGAAGCACGGTAGCATATTTTCGGGTACCGGAGCTCACGACACCGCAGAAGAACATGAAGAGAGCAGGCAGGAGGAATGCGACCAGCTTGCCGGCCCAGAGTGTAAGCCAAGATATCTCGATCCAGAGGAAGACCTTGAAGAGGGGAGGACCCTGGGTGGTGGTCTCCTCGCCAGCGGCATTGGTGACGGTCTTGTTGCCGACGGGCACGGAGTCCTTGTTATCGGTCAAGGGGAGCACGATCAGCGGCACGGCGAGGGCCAGACCGACAGGGACGATGTAAACCAGGTATCGCAGAGGAGGGGCAAAGTTGATGATCTTAGCGTAGAGCCTGCCCATAGCATTCAGAGACATCTCATCCGAGCCGCCGGTCCCCTGCCTACTAGGACCCTCGGGGGCTTTCCTCCGGCCACCCTTCAGGATGCTGCGCTTCTTCTCGAGCTCGCCGGAGTCGGAGAGCGAGGCGGACCGTTGGGTCGCCTTGCGCGCCCCCGTGGAGCTGGCGCGGCTCTTGACGGTAGAAAGAGGAATGTCGTCGGGCATGTTGATGCTGTCGGACCTGGATCTGGTGGTTCCTAGAGGGACGAAACCTGAATTCCTGGGGGACAGGGTCTTGGGCATATTTATTGGCATCGCAAGGGTAGTTTGTTTTGGGGGGGGGGGGGGGGGGGGGGGGGGGTTCGTAGCGAAACCCGTCTTTAGTTAAAGGGGTGGCACACTCTGCACTCCGTTCCGGAAAGATCTGAAATGGAAGGGGGGTCGGCAAAGGAACAAGGAACGGGTCGGTAAACGGAAAGGTGGGCAATGATGTGCGCCTATAGTGTCGGGTCGTCACAGACTTTTGGGTGAAGGGGGTGCGGGAGCAATAGCAGCAGATTTATCGTATATGCGTGGGCGGTTTGGTAGGTTTCCGGGTGAATTGGAGGGGGTGAGATGAAAAGAATACCAGATTCTTGTATCACAGGGTCTTGAAGCATGCGACGGTACGTCCGTCGAGGGGGTGAAGGTCGTGTTATCAATGTTTCGAGAACGAGTGACTGAAAGAGTAGGACAGGAAACACGTAAAGCCGCGGACTGGGCCGTAGAAGAGAGGAGAAAGGATACAAAGAAAGAAGAAGAAAACACAAACGAGGGGATCCCAAATATCAAGGAAGGGACATTTAGAGAGAGACTATGGGGAGGGGGAGAATAAAGATGAAAAGGGTGGGGTGGAAGTGTGGAGGAAGAACAACGAAGGATCAGGAAAAAGGAATGGAGGTGGAGGTTGTCGATCGAGAAACAAAGATCTCGGTCATACGGTGACAATGTCTCGTGCTACAAGTTAGTGTAGTGTACTTCGTACAAGGGTGGACTAAGGGTAGACATTTCGAATCCGAATGCAGGTATTTGAGCTCAAAGCTTGGATCGATGTCGAATTTTCAGGGACCCATTTTGTTCCCCAATGACTCCAATAGTGGCTCCTTCCCAGTGACGAAGTCGATAAACCCGAACCATGGACATGCGAACCCCTTGAATGGACTTATCCTTGCGTGTACTAGTACTATTTTCATGTGGGAAGTCCCCGCCCCTAGCCATGATCTCAGCCAGGCGCGGTTGGTACCTTGCAGGGCCGGGGTCGAAGGAAGTAGCGTGCCCCATTTGGTGCTGTCTTCGCTCGTGTCGTGAGGCGGCGTGGATCCTAGGGGGATTCGTGGAGAGCCAGCGACGTCTGCCAGGTACCGCAGTCGTTTACCGGTACTTGGTACTTTTCAAACTGTGTCCCACGCTGCGATGTCAGGACGCACTGCGAAGTATAAAGTACTTGGTAGCTAGCCATGGCAAGACCCTTCATCCTGGGGTTCAATGCTAAAATGTTAGCTGACAAACGACCAAATTACTACTGTTCGTCTTCGTAGTTCAAAGCAGCACGCCAGATCATAGCCACAGAGTAAGAAAGTATAAACTAACAATAGATAGAAATCTACCTAAACTACTTCGTACCTCTGTCAGTTTTCAAAGTTTGCGTTTAAACGATTACTATCAATCTCGGACGGCGCAGCATAATGGAGTGTATTTGCCACCTCCTGACGCCAACTTCGTAGCTAGCCCAATACGTACACAGTGGAACCCGGAGTCCCAAGTTAAGAGGAGTTTCGCAAAGAAAAAACACAACGGATCGATCATTGATCGAATGGGTCAAATCTTCGTCGCCAGCATCCCGCCAGCATCCCGCTAATGCCCTTCTAAAACACCAACGGTCTCCACTAACTCAATTACACTACTCTAGCGACGTGTGCGCGTCGAGTATCAAGATCACGACTGAGTCTGCCCACAAGCCAGACCCATCAGTTGGACTCCCGAACTCCCGTCCAATAGTACCGGTACTTATCCACCCCGTGCCGATTCGGGCGAAGACTCCTCCCTCGACCGACAGGGGCAAACCAAACATTTTCTAGCCGCAGTTTCTCTTTTTTTTTTTCTTCTCCTGGTTTCATCCTCGCCCTACCAATTCCTAGGCCGCTTCACGATTGGGCGAAACACGCACTCCAGCTCCCCACTCTCGGGCCTGGGTATTTCTCGAGCCCCTGAAATCTGCACTGAAGCCACGGCCCTATAGTAGCGGTCTACTATTTTTTTTTTCTTCTTTTCTATTCTTTTTTTCCCAGCCATTCCCGAGGACGAACGCAATGTTCCATGATGAGTCTGGTGCATTCCGTGATGCAACACAGCTCTGAAGTGTCGTGATCACCTCATCTGCTTGGGCAAAACAAAAACGTTCAGTAGTCTCACTTTCCCTGACGAGACATGCATTCACCCAGACCACGCGCTCGCCAATCTTTCTTCTGCTTTTTTCAAGTGTCCAGCCCACGAGTCCAACTTAAACTAAGTTTGAGCCACCCCTTGCTTCTTGCACAACCAAGGCTGGATCCGGTGGAGTCGATGGCGTGGCCCTGGCATGGATGACAATGGGAAACGATTGACGCTTCACTGGTTGTTAGCGCGTCTTGTTCCAAGGAAACCCTTTTTCCAACTTGGTACATATTATAATGTAAAAGTTCAACTTCGTACATATTATAGTGTAATAGTTCGTTCAGCCACGACAGAATGCCACGCCAGGAATAATACTGGGAACCAGATACTCTGTCAGATACTCTGTTGTTAAAATTAGATCTGTCAAAGCTGAATGGCATGTTTTTAACCTTCTATTCGAAGAAATGCTGGCTGTCTACAGATCGATAAACGAGGGACCCGGAAGAGAAAAGAGAAAAGAGAAACAAGTGAAAAAGAACAAAAAAAGCAAATGATTCAAAAACAGAATCATGCAGAAGCCGGCGGTCACACTACTTTTTCACGACGAACAAGTGGGAAGTGATCATCGACTTAGTCTGCTCGTCTCAACACCACTTCAGTCTTTTACCGTTTTCCCTGTCTCACACGCACAACCATCTGCAGGATGCGAGTTGGCTGCAAGTATCAGACCCTTCATTTTATTCCAAGTATTGCTCTGTAGATTGCCCATGCTTGGTGAAACATGAATCGAACTACAAGCACCGAGACGTAGCCTCATTGCTTCTTCCATCAAACCATCAAACCCAACATCTTGGATGTCCTATTCCGCGAATGTCTATAAAACGGGTTCGGTCGAGGCGGCTTGATTGGAAGACTCGAGACCGCTCAATCACCAGAGGCCCTCGAGATACAAGGATCATGGCACCTCAGTATCATCATAGATTCCCCCCTCCTATTAACTGAGATCTCGGGTCACTGCATCTTATCTTCCCGTCATAAGAAGACTGCTTTGAGGTCTTTCTTATCACCACTGCTTCGTATCGCCATGAGTAGCAGCGCATCGTACAGCCTCCCATGACCAGAAAAGCGCACCCCCAACCATCCGCACCGTCGATCTTCCCTCACGCCCTCGCCTCTTCTGACGAAGGAATGATGTACTCTATGATCTGCAGTCTGAGAACAGCCGATTCCGTTATACCCTTCCCCCCGCTTTGTGAACTTTAAATCCTTAAAGTAGCCGCGATTTCCGGGTTCTCACGGAGAAACAGATCTTATGTCCTCCCCTTAGCGACTATTTCTTTCTTAGTAGAACCGGCTGTTTGAGCCCATACGAGTCTGAATGTTCTCTCCGTGAATATTAGAACCTGAATGAGGTAAAACCGGCGATTTCGTATTAATATCCTCCCGCAATTTATGCATCTACTTTTGCTGGGCGATCCAATTAGCCTTTCATCAGGGTTCACCCGGCCGATCCCATTGAGATTTCAAAAAGAAGATATAGATCTAGATCTTCGGGGGCGGGCAGATTCCGCGTACCCTCCTTGAATAAGAAGTCTCGCCCCCGTAGAAATCGCTATTAGAAGTGCCACAGGACTCAAAAACCCACGCCTCCATGAACAAGCCCGGGCGGGGGGCGCCTCCGTAAGCTTGACTTGTTGTTGATGAAGGTTCTTTCCCAATATCCTCGGCCGGTTGCTTCACTTTACATCTAGTAAAGCTTAAAAAGGGAGAGGAAAGAAAGAGGGTTGGTACTTGAGAGTCGACCTGTCTTATGTTGATTCTATGTACGATTCTCTGAAAACTCTGTACCCACGTTGAACTTCGTAAGTGGATTGAACTTTTGATATCTCCCTCTCGAGGTTTCCGATCCTCCTCAACGAAATTAGTCTTAAAAGCACCAGCCTCTAAAGGGGGGAGGAAAACAATACGGAGTTTTCTCCTGTATTGGAGGGGTGCATTCCCTAGTCAAAAAAATGTACTCCGTATCTCGTCCAGCTTCTAAAGTGGGCTGCGAAGCCCATCCTGGATAGGATGTGCGCCTGGTGATGATTGCAGATGGTATACCACGTCCCATCTATATCAAAAGAGCCGTGGCATGCCATCCAGCCACAAATATAGCTTCATCACAGCACCGACGCCTTGTCTATACGCACCAATAGGCACAGAAACATATCACATACCCAACCCAACTGTCCTTCCCCGTTCAAGGCCCCTTCGGCCCCTTCGACGCCCTCAACGTCCCAACAACACTCCTCTTCAAATCTGTAATCTGCTCATCCTTCATCCTCACCACTTCCGACAAATCCTTATACTTCTTCTGCCAATATCTCGCCCCCTCATTCTCACCGCCCATCCCCTCTTCTTCCTCTTCCTCCTCCCCTTTCTTCCCGTCCTGCCCAGGCCGAAACAAATCATAACTAACCTCCTGCGTCATCGAAAAGGTCCCCCGCAAAGGGCCCAGCCTATACTCCCAACTACAAGTATACAACGTCCCCCTCTCCAACCGCTCCAACCTCGCCAGCCTCATCCTCGTCGTCGTCATGAGCATCTTCCCGCCCGCCAGCGCCGCCACATTAATAAGGAACGACTCGTTGCTCGCCGACGCCTTGAACAGCGACTCGATGACCGTCGTAATGATGGCGGCCGCCTCGTCGGCGCAGGCAGGCTCTGCGGGGTTGCCGTCGACGTCGACCCAGTCGGCCATCATGACCTCGACGACGAAGTGGCTGTAGAGCGCGTCGACGTTGGTGCGGTCGGAGAGGGAGTCGAAGAAGTTGGTTCGGGGCCCGCCGGATGCTGAGGTCGCCGCGAGGTTGGGTCCGTCGCATGGGGCTGTTGGGTCGGGGGGCATGCTTAGGCTGGCTTTGCCGTAGTTGAGGGTTTCGATGTTTACCTTGTTGGTGTCGATGGGTTGGGGAGGAGGAGGATTTCTGGCGGTTGAGGTCTGGGCGGGGATACCTGCGCTGTCAATCGCCGGCGTTGACTGCTCAACAGGTGGGATGGGTGGAATAGATACGCAGGGCGCTTGTAAATGTGACATATGCAGGGGTGGTGGAGTCGCAAGCCTTACAGAACCTCCACTCCTTTCTGGGACATGGAGAGAAATGCTAGGTCTCGCCGGCCTCGAGGCACTCGCCGACTGTTGTTGGAGTGGAAAATTCGGAAAGTGGTTAGGAGTTGCCATCCTAAGTCCCGATGACGGAGGATAAGTAGGTGCGGTAGAAGTAGACGGGGAAGGAGGAGGAAGAGGAGGCTGGGACATTAAGGGGCTCGGGGTTGGCAAAGGAAGATGCCTAGGGGAGTTATTCGGACTGGGTGTAATAGGGTTAACCGTAAATGCGACTGAATCTCTCGGAAAGGGTGATTGGCCATCGATGGGTGTCCTGTTGATAGGTGGTCGTCCGCGAGGTTTTCCGCTAGCTATCGCACTGCTCCGCCACGCCGAAGAAACAACTTTCGGGCCATTTCTTTTGTTTTTCTTCTGCTTGAAAAAAAGCGCGTCATCTCCCCAAAAGCCGCCCCTGGAGGAAGGCGTGATAGCCGATTGAGGATACGCCGTTAATGGGGTTTGTGCCGCCTCTGGGCCAGACCACCCGGACATCGATCCGCCGGACCGCAAGGGGTCGCCAGGTGCCGGTATCGGGAGCGGCCGACCATCCGGATGCGCAGACCAAGGGCCGTAGGTCTCGTGGTGGTTGGGGGAATTGCCTTGGCCAAGCGGGGAGTTTAACCTCGGCCGCTGAGAAGGCGAAAAGCCCTCGTCCGTTTCTCGTTTGCGCCCACGTTTGGGGCGGATGTGCGGCAGGAGGGCTCGTAGAGCCATGTCGTCTTTGGGGGCGACACCATCTCTCCCGGCTTCTATCACCGGATCTGGATCTGTAGGCAGTTCGCTCCAATATGGATGGCGTGGCCGGCCCATAAGATACTCGAAGAACGCATCAACGTGCATTGAGTGCATCCATCTCTGTTATTATACTGTTAGATGTGATGTCCCTAGGTCATGCCACATACTTGACCGAGAAATAGTACCTATAGAAAGAGCAATGAAGTGAAGGGAAAGGAAAGATGACATGAAGCAGATCGAATTAAAAAAAAATCTCACTTTTAATCTCACAGCGTACTGCTGGATCTTCTGAGAACTCCCCCCTTTCTCCTGATCCGGCGGCTCCACCCCAAGCTTCAGCGCCAACTCAGTCCAACTTTTGAGCTCCTTCGACTCGAGCGCCCCGATCAGCTGGTACAACACGAAGATGTTAAAGGACTTGCCGCCGCTCCTGGGCGGGGACCTGAAGGCATCTCTGAGAGGCTCATCATCCGCGTCGGCCGGTACACCTGGGTTGCAGTAGAAGATGAAGTCAACGTAGGCTTGCTCAATCGTCGCCTCCGTGACGTTCTTGTCGGGCAATACGCGCCGTGATTGACCCATCTGTGAGGTTGTTGTGATGATGGGTGGTGGCAAAGGTCTAGCGGGACGCGATGGTGCCTCCACGGGTGGCGCTGATGAGGGGGGTTGAGGCAGGAGGCCGTCACCTGGAGCGGGCATCATCGTGGGGTTAGGATTATCCATCGCGCTTGGATTTCACTCCCACTCCATCACGGAATTATCCCAGGGAAAGGGAAAGAAGAAAAGATGATATGAGGACTAAACAGTTTCGCGTAAAGACCTGCCAGCAGGGGAGGGTGCGGAGGTTAGTGCGTGGATCGCGCTGGCTGTCTCAATACGGGGCTATATCTCAATGTATGATAGATGCAGCTTTGATCTTAGGGGAGGCTCTATGAATGAATTAGACAGGTAGGTTCGATAGCTATTCCTTTGGCCTGAAGTGCAGTAGAGTGTTCCGATTTTTAAGTGGTGAAGGCGCTTGGTGATGTCTCGACGCGACCTAACGTGGATCAATTCACCATATGTTGGACAGGGGTCTGGATCATCGCTCGAGATTGATGCCCCAGTTTGAAGACGCCATCCTCCTGTCGATTATACTCCGTAGAATTTCCAGCAGGCCTAGCTACTTTTTCGTGGCAGGCATCAGAATGATGTTTCGCACAAGGTCGAATCGAATCGAATGAAATCCGCAAACGCGCATTCAGGGGGCCTGGATGCTCTGATGCGGGAAGCAGAGATTGAAGGTTTAAGCTTAGCTTTTTGGTGTGTGGTGAATGGACCCCTTCTTCCAACGTCTCTACCAACAGGCTGCCAAGTATTAAAGTATTTGATACAAAGTAACAACAGGAGAATATTGCCATTTTGGAGCTCGTGCAGCGCAGCACAGCACCAGCCCAATCGAGGGTTGGTACTTTATGTGTGGGTACACTAACAGACTGTACATGAATTGATGTACCCAAACATGCACTCAAACTATATTTAGCTGAACGTGGGGATGAAGTCATAAAGCCAGTACTTCGTACCGAGCACGCATTGGATCTGATTATCCTCAACTCGCTTCAGAAGTTTGGACAATGTGGGCCGGACCAGCCCCTAACAATCCACTCTGAAGACCTGCCAGAAGTTTTGAACACGTCGTCAGACCATCTGAACCCGCCCATCAGCTCCCCTAATATGCAGAGCAGCCCATTTCCAGTTTCGAGGGATGGGAAGGGAGAACCCACTGCTCCCATACTACTGAAGACTCTATCGACAAGGACCTGTTCTCAGACGTCTCCGTTCAGAATTCATCGTGGTGCTACAGAAGAACAGGGATGATCTTGCACTATTAGGCTACAATATCTCGTGGAAGCGGATACATGAGCATTTCAATTATCCCACTCTCAGTCTAGATTTGGAATCTTATGAGATAAAAGCAAACCTAACACAATTCTAGAGAAGTATTGGAAATGTGTAGAACTAACGGTCAACTATCAGCGAACGACTATACCTCTTATGCTCCTCCAGGTTTACGTCCCCAGACGACCTTCTGGCGGTAATACGAATGGATCTGTGGCGATCGGATCGCCTTCCGGACGTGGGCTGCAAAAACGGAAACTTCTTGGGGCGTCCAGCCAATGGCGGTCGCGGGATACAGGATGTAGCCTTCCGTGTCATTCTCGAGGACTAGCTGTGCGTATTGACCAATCTCTTTGAGAGCCGGGTCCTTGGGCCAGGTTCCAACGGGAGTCTAGAAGCAAAAACGAATCCAGATTAGCAGCCACTATGGTGAAAAGGCATGAAAAGGAAGGGAAATGGCATTTGGGTCCTTCATACCTTATAGTTAGCCTCATCGATATCGACAAAGCCTGCTACCTGCATCGCCTTCTTCTGAGTCTCGTCAGGCACAATGGAAAAGGGCCTCCCGATGCTCTCGCCGAAATTGAGAAAGATCTTGCCCCATTGGCCCAGCGCGGAAGTCTCGGCAACAGTGTCGTCATCGCTTTCGCAGATATTGGAGGCCTCGAAGCTCTCTAACCAACCTCCGGGCTTCAGAGCTTTATAAGCTTCGGTAAAGGCGGCCTCCCAGTTGCCGATACTACCTAGTAGCCACCGCATGTGGATGTAGTCGAAGGACTCGGGCTCGTATGTCCAAGGACGAGTGCAATCCTCGATTTCACTGTTTGAATGTTTCAGATTAGCTTGGCATGGCACGTCTCGACAATTGACCTCTATTAGTTTGGTTTTAGTGAAGGCGAACCAGGACACTAAGACACATACAACTTCAAGTTTGGCGGGGCCCAGGCAGGCTGAATAGGAGAAATATCGGTTCCGATAACTTGAATATTAGGATGGTCATCGGCGAAGTCGCTAACGAGATGTCAGCTAAACCTGTGTAGGTAAAAGATCGAACAGTCATACATGGCCCAGGTTCCTAGATAAAACGCAAAGCAACGATCAGTGAGAGTGGATAAAGTAAGCAAGATAATGGAAACGAGAGAGGGGATCTTTATACCTGTCCCAGTTCCGATATCGAGAACTTTCTAGTTCCTAAGTTAGAGATAAAGATATAGACAATAGGTTGTCTGCGAGCGAAAAAGGGAAGGCGTGTATATACCTGAATCCTGTCAGTTTCCAAGGGTGCCTTGAATAGTTTCCCTCCGATCAAGAGTGTGAGAGCGTGGTGGCTACACGAAGAGTATACGGTCAGTCATTCGAATAGTCTTCGGTAGACGTGTGGATGAACTGCAGAGGAGCCTCTCACTTGATGTCCATTGACTCATTCTGGCGTTCGTCGTTTGAGGCCCTGTGTTACCTCGGAAACCCTTCCGTCAGCGCTTCATCGATCGGTTTGGCACGCACCAAATGTTGGCTGTGCGCCATATGCGTGCAAGATGCTGTTGGTTCGGGACTAGTGACGTTACCAGTAGCTTGCATTTCCGATCTCGCTGTGATACGTCCTGCCGTGAATCTTGCGGTACTCGAGGATGCTGGCGGTGAGAGATTCGGTTGAGGTGCCGATGCTCCCGATTGACTCGGCGTCGGTGCTGTCCACCTCTTGCTCCTGGGGCCGAGGGTGTCAGTTTCCCCAGTGGACACTCCTGAGTTCCGTGAGTGGGCATCGGCGGGTTGTTACCGTCCGGGAAGCATCTCATACGAACCTCTGCCGTATCGACCCAGTGTTGGGCGGGAAGGATTCCCGCAATCGTTGCGGCGGCCCTGGGGGAGCCCTCCTTGGGCGATCCCGCGTCCGATCCCTTGGGGGATGTGGACGGGGATTTGCTAGCCGTCGCAGGCGCCTTGGCAGTAGGGGATGCCTGGTCGGTCATTTTATATCAAATAGGATCCAGAAAATAGCTACTATTTACTACCACCACTATCGGCGGGAGGAATAGATGTCAAAAAGTGGATGCTTCCGACAGAGTTGGGTGATCTGTGATGGTGAACTCTCCGGCGTTCGAGACGGGTGGGAAGGACCGTAGTCATTGCGAGGGCTAAAGGAGCAGACCATGGCAGAGGGGAAACGTATGGTATGCCTTTGGAAAGATATGCGCCATGTACTTCGAGCATCTAGAATGCGACCTGTGCATCCGCGAGGGCGTAGTCTTGCTCCTTCTGTAGAAATTCGACCAGGGTCGCAATGAGAATCTGCTGCCAAGCACCAAAAGGTAGTTTACATCGTGCAAGTTGACACACACCAGGGACACAGGTCTATGGTCTGGAAATGAAATATCTCGGTACTTTGTGCTTGGTGTTTAGACTCTCACACTTGCATTTTGTAAAGACTTAGCTGGAAGTCTGTAGACAAGGTCACAGTTATCCATAGCCCGACTTATTCTAGCTTACTACTTGTAAAGCTGAGTGGTGCATTGTGACGGGCTGCGCCGCGTACATGGCTTCGGCAGGAGCCCAAGCCGACTGCCACACCGGCACTGTGGTGATGGTTCGGGGAAGAAAATTCCTTCTTCCCTCATCAAGAACCAGTTCTTGTGGGAACGAACGTTGTTGAGCAGGAGTGGAATTTCCTGCGAAGGAAACGAACGAATGATGCTGCCCTGGTTCGAGGTTCGGCAGCAGCTCCAAGACAGCTGGCGGCCAGCCAGCCGGGCCGCCAACAGTTCTTCCAATTGACTAATCTACTTCGTCTGCTTCGTCCAATTACTAATCTTCTCCACGACTCGCTAACATCGAATCGCCCAGATCGCCTCGGCATTCGCTGCGGAAGACGACTGGACAATAGACTGGGGTGCTGTGGGTGCTCCTTGTCCAAGGGCCTGCCTGCGATGACGTGATTGAAGTTTACCGGAATAGACATAGCGATCAATTCAACGTCGAAAGGGCGCGAGTGCCTAAGCCCAGCCAGTGGAGTACATGCATGCAAATCATGGAGAAAGCAAGTACGAAGTTAGAACACATTTACTCGAACCATTGCTTTGAAATAGCTTCCAGATGTTCTAGGCCTTCTGGATTCTTCCTGTGATTTGAAATCAGGCCGCTGCCTCTCGAAGAGATAGATATAAAAGCTCCTCGATGCCTCACATATCCTGAGATAATCTACCAGCTCAGAACATCCTCTTCCAGCAGCCAAGGCTATTTCCTAAAACAAAGACCAGTATCAAATTGATCTCCCTCCCCCTCACTCCGGCTATATCCTTGTAGTAACCACACCCGTCCCAAACCTCTTCTCTCCTCACAATGGCCATCCAATCCACACGTATCCCCCGCGGCGACGTAACAGCCCAAATCTCCTTCTTCTCCCCACCCCCCGACGGCTCCCGCCCCTACAATCTCGTCCGGGACCCCAAACCTGGCGAAGCCCCGCGCAACTTCTCCGACAACTTCCAGCCCACCCAGATCCACGACATCCGCGGCGCTGAAGACACCCTCACCCTCGACCACGACTCGGTCGCCATCGTCCGCAACCTCCCACCCTCAGCCGAGCAGGACTTCCTAGACGACGCCTCCATCGAAGCCAAGTTCTACCCGGAGGTCGAGGACCTCCTCCTCAAGCACGTTCCCGGAAGCAACAAGGTCGTCATCTTTGACCACACCATCCGCAGGACGGATCCCAACGCGGCGCGCAGCCCCGTTCTTAGAGCCCACATTGACCAGACGCCCAAGGCTGTGGCTGCCCGGGTGAGGAGACATCTGCCTGCCGAGGAGGCGGAGGAACGTCTCAAGGGCCGCTATCGCATCATTAACGTCTGGCGACCCCTTAACAGGACGCCCCTTGAATCGTTCCCCCTAGCTTTCGCGTCTTCGGCTACGGTCAAGGACGAGGATGTCGTCCCCGTCCGCCACATTTACGAAACCTTCGAGGGCGAAACCGCGGCCATTGCGTTTCACCCGGAGCAGAAGTGGTACTATCTCAGCGGTATGACGGGCGATGAGAGGCTTTTGCTACAGTGCTTCGATAGCGAGGCGCTGAAGGAGGGCTCGGAGGTTCGTGGGGGGAGGCTTGCGCATACCGCTTTTGAGCATCCGGGGTCCTTGCCTGATGCTGAGGGGCGTGAGAGCATTGAGGTTCGGGCGCTGGTGTTTGGGCCGTAGGGAGATGGAGTGGGAGTGTTGTACTTGTGTTGGGAAAAGTCATTCTGCGCAGCATTGGTTGTCTCGTTTGTGCTTGGAGAGCTGGACTGTTGATCTTACGCCGTTATAATGATGTATATGAAGAATGCCATTGCCAGTCTTATATGACGTATTAGCAAAATAAGTCATTCTCTTTGAACGCGAACTTGCACTCTAACGTATCTCATCCTCATTTCGACAGTGGATCCGACTCGATATGTATCTTTATTTCTGTGAAAGTCTCATAAATGGGACGGAGATGGAGTCCAGTGAGGAGTGAGTGGTGATGTAGATGTACACCGAAGAATCAATATAATCAACAATGAGAAGTTCCTCTAGAGCACAAAACGAGAGCCGAAACCACAACTTACACCATAACTCATATATCATCGCTGACCTCCAGACAAAATATCAATCACTCTAAATGAGATCCATTTTCAAGCAGAAAGAATAAATACATTATCAAGGAATAGAGAAGTCTCTTTTTTGATTTAATTTTCATTTCTAGCCTCAATCACAGCTACCAATTTGCGGAAAGCAAAATTGGCATTTGAAAGTGCAGCGTAATGGTAATTCCAAATCCCCAACTCCTAGTTCCGCAACCGAATCCTTCGAGAACCACTGCGTGAGAGAATATGTGCTTTTAGAAGAAAGACATGCCGGTACAAGTATATTGTTCCGGGGTCATGACATGAAAGAAAACAGAAAAAAAAAAAAAAAAAAAAAAAAAAAAAAAAGAGCCAGAAAGAGCCTACCAAATATCGACGCCTTCCTCTTCCTCACCCGCGACACTTCGCCTAGCACAATAAAATGATGATGGCAACAAAGAAAGGGGAAAGAAACACCGGGGTATCTCATCTTCCTCACATCTAATTCTTCCTCCCCTTCCCGCGCCCACTTCCATTCGTCCCCTGCCTACTCATAGCAACACCCCCCTGGTGACTACTCTGTCGACTCATAGCCGCCGCAGCCGAAGCCGTAGCTGCCGCGATAAGCCCCGAAGAAGTCTTCTCGGGACTCGTGTTGTCTCCGGACTTATCGGAAGGCAACCCCAACTCCCTGCGGATCTCCTCGGGGTCCTTGCGCGGACCGCCCCCTATGAAGGCGACGTAGCGACTCTTCGCCTTGGGCGTCGCGGCGGCCTCGAGCACGCGCTTGAGGCTACCGTTAACCATGAGGGCTGAGCCGGGCTTGGAGTGCTGGTCAAATTGCTTGAAGTAGCTCATGATCTGGAGGTCCTCGTTGATCGTGTCGTTGTTCAGCAGCGAGGGCGTGTTCTGGTCCTGGGATCGCGTGGGGGGCTTGATGTATTGAGACGGCGCGACGGGAGGTAGCTTGGGGGGTTCGAGCCCCTGGAGCTTCTCGAGGTTGCCGGGTAACTCGAGGTCGGAGATGGCTTCAAAGCCGAGGATCTTGTGGTCAATAACGTTGTGATTGACGTTGCCCCGCGTACTCCTCGTAGCGTGGGAAGGCGCGCGCTCCATCATCGGGGCTGTCGTTGCCGTATCTGCATCGTGATCGTGCTCGTCGTCATTGCTCGACTCGTGACCGTCGGTCAAAGCCGTCGTCGGTCCGTTCACGCGATGTCGGAGAATGTGGACGTGAGCCGCCACCGCCGCCGTGTTATAAGTAAGCGTGAGCTCCTTGTCAGTGAAGAGCTTATCGACACTGTAGACGGGCCCGTTCTGCTTGGCAGCCACCCTAAGCTTTTCGGATTGCCAAAGCGGCGTCGTGCCCGTCGAATCGAGGCCTCGACGACCCGGCGCGGGCGATCCATCGTCGTCACCGCGCTTTCTCTTCTTGTTATCTCCGAGGCCGAGATCTTCGGCGTCTTTTCGAAGTCGTGTTGCTCGCTTTCCATGGGTGCCGCCGGGGCTGGCGGGGTTCGTGATGCTGAATTGGTTGGGGTGGAAGAGAAGAGCGGACGAATCTGAGAGTTCAAGAGCCTCCTTTTCCTTATTGAGGCGGTTCTTCTTCGTTGCGAGGGAGTTGATCAAACGATCTCTAAGTGTTGAAGCAAGCGCCTGGTGCTCCCTCTTTGCTGTCTCGATTCGGTAATTGTAGGTATTCTTGTATTCTTGTATCTTGCGCTCGTATTCAAGCTGTAGTGATTGAAAAAAAAAAGGACGTTAGAATGTGGAACTTGTTGTTAGGGAATATGAGAGAGGAGAGAAGAGTAATGTGACACTGCACATACATGTTGCGAGGTCAACTGGACGTCCTTGCGCTCATGCAAATCCGAAATCTCCTGCGCCCAATCCTGAAAATTGGGCCCCGCCATATCAAGCAAGCTCCGAGCATTCTGCGAAACAACATTCGGACCGTTGGCGTTCCTTTGATCCTGTCGGAGCTCGGCAATGATGCTCGCGGCGTTGGCGGCGAACGGGTCAATGCGCTGGACGAGGCTCGTGTCGACCTGGATCTTGTGCAGCTGGTCGACGTAGGAAACGTCTCGGTTCCGGTCGAATTTCTCCGTGAGGGCCGCGATGCGATCGTTGAGGAGTTGGCGCTTCTTGTCGCGCTTGGAAGGGGCTTGTGGTTCGGCTCGGCGGGTGGATGGGGTTGGGAGGTTCGAGACCCCTGCCGTTGTTGGCTCTGCGGTGGCCATGACTATGATTGTTTATACCAAGATAAAAAAAAAAAAAAAGTAGAGTCGTGGATATATAACAGTCCGTTACTAGGGAAGGTTTAAAAAGGGGCGCCCTTAAGGAAAGAAGAGATCGATCTGTGGAGAGCGAGATCGGGGGTTTGCCGGGATTCGGGAGGAAAGGAAAGTTACAAACAGGGAAGAGGAAGAGGCAGGGTCTTGGGTTCCGATGCGAAAGTTTAGCACGAAAAGAATATGGATTGGGAGAAATTATCCCTAATGGGAAAGACAAGACATCGAACTGCCTATTGCTTATGCAGAAACAAGAGGCAACAGACCATGACAAAAATGAGAATGATTGGAGGAGATGTGTGTGTGTGTGGGTGGGACGAGGCTGGAGCGGAGAGAAGAAGAGAAACGCCGACGAGGCGATATTTTGGGGGACCTTTTTTGGGGACTGTCAAACAAACAGATGCCGCAGCTGATGCCAGCCCTGCCAACTGCCACGCCGAACGGCCGTGGATCAAATGCAGCATCCCGTCATCAAAATCCTGGACGCGTTGAGGGCGGCGTCTCGCCACGATTATTTTTCAAACCTGCACTGCCGCCAACCACATCGCATTGAGAAGCCATCGACATCAAAAAGGGAACCGACGTCCATCCTTTCCGACGAGGCTGTTTCCATCCATCAACCCCTTTCCAAACCCCCCGCTTTGTTCCTCCTCCCCCCCCTTTTTTTTTCTATTTTACTGTACAATAGGCTTAACTGCCCAGGTCATCTCTTTTCCTCGTCATTTGTCTTAATTCTTATCCTTAGTTTCTCCCCTATCAATCTTTCATAATCTACTTCCTTCACAACAATGGGCAAGCCGGAAGTCAAAGCCAAGGCCAAGGCCGCAAGCGACTTCGAAAAGATAATCCACGAAGGTAAGCTCCGAAGATAATTCATCCTACGGCATACCGAATTCACACGACTCCTAACAAACCAATTACAGGCCGCGAGCGCAAGCGCAATGAACAACTCGCAGCAAGCATCTTCTCCAAATCCCGCAGAAAGAGCGCGCCCTCCGCGCAACAAAAGATGGGCGCAGGTCCCTCCCTAGCTAGCCGCGTCGGTGTCAAGAAGGTACTGTCCAGAAGATGTCCTCTCTCGAACCATCTCGAGCCCAATCTTTCTTCAACTAACCCTCTTTCCCTGGCAAAGCAGCGCGTCGCCTCCACCTCCTCCCGCATACCCCCGGGCAACGTCAACGGCGAATGGACCCACGACCTCCACACGACCGTAAACCCCCCCAACGCCCTCGCCTCGCGCATCTCCAACCCCTCCACCAAACGAACGGCCAAACTCGCCTCAGCCCTGCAGCGCGTCGACGCCTCGCAGGCCAACGTCCTCCTCAATGCCCCCAAAGGGCCCTCCGGCAAGAAGAGACAACCGCAACAACAGCAACAAAAGAAGAGCGGTGGCAGTCCGGCGCCGGAGATTTCGATAAGGGGACTCGCGGGGCCGTTTTCCGTGCTGGCGCAAAACTTTGCGCCAGGGACTTCGGCGGCCGATATTGAGAGCGCCATGACGCCCGTGGGTGGGGAGATGTTGGTCTGTAAAGTTTTGAAGACGCAGCCTATTATGCTTGTAGAGATGGTGTTTCATTCGAGGGAGGCGGGCGAGAAGGTCATCGAGAAGTTTAACGATCAGCTGGTGGGTTTTTCTTTTTCTTTTTTTTCTTTTTTTTTTTCCCCCATTTTACATTAGGGATTGTTTTGCTAATCACAATTGCCATGCTCTAGGCCGACGGCAGAATCATCAAGGTATACGCCAACCCGCGCGGCTACGCCTCCGAAACCTCAGACTCCCCCCGCCACGGCGCCACGAGCGGATCCGTGCACGTCGTCGACGGCAAGATGGGCTTCCCCGAATCCGGAAACGGATCGTCCAGCTCGAGACCCGACCTCATCCTGAATAACGGCAACGGCGGCGGTAAGCTCTACAGCGATAGCATGGTGGGGTCATCGAGGAGGGGTAGGGGGAGGAGGTGAGGTTCTTGTGTCTTATGACTTGAAGGGGAGGGGAAAGGTTCATATTAGAAAGGTGGATTGGTTTTTGGTTTTTGGGGACGGGCGTTTTCTTTTTGGGAAGAGGGACATCGATTTGACAAAATGTAACACTAAAATAACATTTGGGTTTGCTTTTGCTTGTTGCCTTTTGGGTTTGACGCCTCATGGGATGGGTTGTGGATATTGGCTAGAGGTTTCTATGGAACATGAAGGTTTCCCCTTCGCTGTCATCTCTGTGTAGGAAGTATCTTGCTATGTTCTGTGCCGGTGATCGAATCTAGTGGCATCAAGACCATGTCGAAGAGGATATATTATATCTAGCACCTATCTGCCTCTGGTAGTAGGATCTCTCGTCGACCTGACAAATGTTTCATGCGTCCAGACCAACTAACATTGGAAAGGCGCTGCTCTGAACAGTCTTGACCCGTCTATCCTAACGCAATGAGCGGCGGCATCATGTCCTTCAAGCGTATATATATATATATATCCAAGCCCCTATCGTCTTGGCCTCTTAAAACGAAGCATCGCCTCACTACCCTTATTATGTATCACCATGCTTTCTAAGCCGAAGCCAAGGTGCCACGAGTGTACTACGTCAAATCATGTACGCAAGAATCACTTACCGTCTTAAACTTCCAAAGGCCGGCAAAGAGGAGAGAGAGAAGAAAAATGGGAGGCATCTATTCCCAACTACGCCCTCCCAGGGCCAAAAAAACGAAAGCAGTCTCTGCCTTTCCACCCTTAATACCCGTGCTATCATGGATGCGTTGAAACAAAGAAAAAGAGGAAAGCTATAAAACACAGGAAAACACGACGGGAGGGTAGGAGAGAGCAAAAGAGAGATAAACGAATACCAAACATCCATCGCGGGAGAGGAAAACGCAATCAAAGGGAAGAAAGGAGAGACACATTTTCACATCGTCCAACCACAATATCAGAAGCGTTTTTGAATTTCGTGCTCTCTCTCTCTCATCTTCTTCCCAAGTTTGCTTTCCCGCTCAACCAATGCCCTTTCCCTCTTTCCACCCCCGTCAAATGAGTCCTACCTAACCACCTACCCGACGTATAAAATGAAACAGAAAAGAAATAAGAGAGGAAAAAAGAAAAACGGAAAAACGAAAAGAAACTAACGAAAGCATTGTGCATTGTGCGGCGTGTGTGTTGCGTGTTCCCGATAACTCCTTTCCCACTTTTTCTTCTTCTGCGCTTCGATCCGATCGTAAGAGAGAAAAGAGTAGAAGTATAACAGCCACGACCCATTTCGATGATGAGAAGAGAGGAAAGAAAGAAAAAAGTGTGAATACAGACGTTCCTCTCTCTGTCCCAAATCCCCCTGCCCAGGAACCCAACCCATGTAGAAAACTCTCCCCTTCCCGTCTTCCCATCCGTATTTTCCTCCACCTTGGTCTCCCTCCGCCGGACCGTTCCCTTAATGCCACGGATTCTGCGCCGGATTTCCCATGTAACCTTCCTCCAGCGTCCTCTCCTCCAGAGTACGGATAAAGTCCCGATTGCTGCGACCCGCCTGCACCCTGCTGCCTCTCCTTCCCGCCCTACCAGCAGGAGCGCTATCCATGCCAGCCATACCCTCGGGCGGCGGCGGATAGTAGGCGGGGCTCGGCTGCAACCTGATGGGCTGCGTCGGGTCGAGATGACTCGCCACCCTCTGAATGGCTGCAGGAATCCCGCTCTGCTGCTGCTCCATCGTCGACGCGCGCTGGCGACCGGTCCGCGACGTCGGTTGTTGCTGGTACATGCCGCCGCCCATCGGTGGGTGGGCGTTACCGTACTGCTGCGATGGTATTTGTTGCTGAGGCGCCTGGTTCATGGGCATAGGGCCGTAGGCCGGTTGAGAACCGGCGCCGCCATAGGCAGGGGCTTGGTTCGGCACGGCTCCTGCTGGTGGGTAGACACCGCCGTACATCTGAGGCGACTGGACGTGGCCCTGGGGATGGTATTGGCCGGCCATCGGCGGCCCGTACTGCGTCTGCTGCGCAGCCGTGTTCGCTTGGGCTTGGGCTGCCTGGGCGCGTTGCTTTGACAGAGCCTCGGCCTGCTGCTGTTGTTGAGTACCAGGAGCTGGTGACCGATTGAGGGAGCTCGACTTGAGGTTCATCGGCGGTACGAAAGGGCCTGTGAACTTTTGCTGCGTTATAAACGGATGAAGCTTGGCTTGTTGCGGCGACCAGCGCTCGAGGGGATTGAGATTCAAGAGTCCTCGGACAAAGTCGATAAAAGCAGTACGGTTGTTCATTTCTATGTGTGAAGGTTAGTATGGTCCTTTTGGTAATGTACGTGTGACAGAGAGCTGCGAAATGGGGAAACATACCTCGCTCAACTTCAGAAGGCTTCATGTTCTTGCGCGGTAACGGGTACGACTTGATAATCTCAGGGAGCGTACTAGCCTGGAAGTACTTCTTGCTCGGCTGCTCTTTCGTGCCGTGTTCGCGGGAGTACTGCTCCATGCTCTTCAGGTGATAGGTCCGGCGTCCGAATTCGTCCTGGCGCTTCTCAAAAAAGTCGCCTCCCTGCTTGCCCATCTCGATCATCCAGTTCGGCGGGTTCCCCAGCATCTCGACTATCCTAGAGACCTGGTTATACTCGGAGGAACCGGGGAAGAGCGGCAGTCCGAGGAAGAGTTCTACGACGATGCAACCTAGGGACCACATGTCGATGGCGGACGAGTACGGCAGGCCGAGGAGGACCTCGGGAGAGCGATAGAATCGTGACTGGATATACGTGTACACGGTTTGTCGTTCATCGCACGCCGAGCCGAAATCGATAATCTTGATGATCGGACTCTCGAGATTCTTCAGAAGAATGTTTTCGGGCTTCAGATCGCAGTGGATGAGGCGAGCTTTGTTTAGTAGCACCAAACCATTGAGCAGCTGTTGGGCGAACACGCGAACAAGTGTCGTACTAAGGCCTCGGAACTGGTTCTGCTTGATTAACTCGTAGAGGTTGACGCTCAGTAGCTCGAATACCAGGCACAAGTGCTGCCGATGAATGAACGTGTCTTTTAACCTGAGGAGATGGTGGTCGTCGTTCTTGTCGAGCTTCGTGTTGAGCTGGTGCCAAGTTAGCTATACATTGACGTACACTGACCGCGAGCTTTTGCTTGCGGCGCGAGAGAGATCGTCTGGTTGAGAAGGAAGAAAAGGGAGACATACAAGATCCAGCACGGACACTTCCATCATACTCTGGTTGAAATAGGCAGTTCGGTTCTTGATGACCTTGACAGCCACGACTTCCTGAGTCTTGAGATTTTGACACTTGACGACCTGCCCGAATGTGCCCTGGCCGAGGACATCGAGAATTAAGTATCGGTTCCTACAATGTAAGGTCAGAAAACGCCTGGTTGTCGCCACCGACGGCATCGTTAACCGGATGACTGGGAGTTTCGCGCGCGCTTACTTGTGTCCAGCCTCCTCGGACCCCAAGATATCGTTGACATAAAGAATATAATCGCTATCCTCATTATCATACCCATCGTTCTTGACGCCCTTGCTTGGCTTGGTAAGCACCCGGCGTGGATTCCGTGACGACTCATACTTGAAGCCGGGGTTGCAGATTCGATAGGTCGCGGGTAGGTGAACCGTTAACGCTTGTAGAGGCTATATATGGAAGAAGCAAAAAGAAAAAATTGCTGGTTAGCAAAGTAATCACAGGGAGGGCACGCGTGCGGGGAGAGAGGTGAGTTAAGGTAGGGTGGATTCAATCCGCAGAGCCGATAGAGAGGGGGTGGTTCTCGAAGTGGTGGTAACCGCCGCGAGAAGAAGAGAGAAAAAAATGCGATACAGGGAGAAGTCGGACCAGAACAAGAACCACAGAAGTCGACGCAAAATACACGGGGTTCAAGGGAGGAAAAAAAAAAAAAAACAGAAACGGAAGGCAAGGATAGAACATCGAAACCCGAAGGGGTCAGCGACGGCGGGGGGGAATCAAGACATACGCTAATAAATCCGCCCTCGGGAGCAGCTCGACGGAATGCAGGCTGCTGATTGACAACAGGTCGCAGATCGGCCGGCGACCTCACGCTCCTGAATTGAGGAACCACTCTCTTGGACGCATCGGCGACGGCGAGGCTGTGGGGGACAGCATGGCGCGGAGACTTGGGGTCGTGGGAGAAGGTCGCGTCGTGCACTTGAACCGAGGATGATGAGGGTTGTGGATAAGCGTCGTGGGGTGAGTATTGCATCATGCCAGGGACAGGCACTTGCTGGGGTTGCTGATGCTGGCGACTCGGATGATATGGGCTTTGGGAATGATAATCGGGTTGTCGAGTTGGCGATTGCCTTTGGATGGGCTGGGCGTATTGATTCTGGATGGCGCCCTTTGGCGCATAGGGCGAGGTGGGCGAAAGGGCCTCCACCATGGGCGAGTATCGTTGGGCGGCGGACGAAGGTTCTTGCGGGGAATGGAGATTGGCGGGACGACCAGAGACAGAGCCAGTGCCAGGGCCAGGGCCGGAGCCCGAGAGCTGGGGCTGGTGATGAGGCCTCATGGCGTACTTGATGCCGGCATGGGAATCGTTGACGTCCTGCATGGCGACGTCGCCGGAGACGTCTCGACTCTGGGGGGTGGTGGTGATGATTGAGGACGATGAGGTCAATGACGAAGCTGGGTGCTGCTGAAGGGAGGAGGCGGTGGCGGTGGTGTAGTTGTTGTACTGGACCTGCGCTGGCTGAGTGTGGCTCTGAGCCTGACCAGTGCCGTAGCTGTAGGCGTTGGTGCTGGCGCCGACGCTGGTGGTGGTATTGGCGCCGGGGTTGGGGTTGGCGGCTAGCACTGGAACGACGTGCTGTTGTTGGTGTGGGCCGTAGGCTTGAGCATGGACTTGCTGTTGCTGTTGCTGTTGCTGTTGCTGTTGCTGGTACTCTCGCTGGCGGTACTGTTGCGCAGCCTGAATCTGAGCCTGAGTCTGAGCCTGAGCCTGAGCATATGCTTGAGCCTCAGCTTGAGCTTGAGCCTGGGCTAGAGCGTGGGCAAACTGCTCTTGGGACAGAGTTTCGCTAGGGTAATGTTGACCGTTGTTTGTACTCGTACTTGTGGCCGGAGGCATGTGGCCAAGAGGCGGGTTAACGTTGGCCCCGTCTTCGTAGGATTGCTGGTGCTGCTGGGAGCTGGTAGGGTCGTGATATGACTGCCACTGTGGATCCATCATTCGAGGCGCAGGCTTGGGTGGTCTTCTGTCAGGTGCCGGAGTTTCCTTGCCAATTTGTTTTTCTTGTGTGTCCAGTCCAGGTTTCAATGATCAAGGCTGGGTTTTTGTTGGCTTCCAAATTAATCCCAGTAAGAGTTGACAGGGTCCCGGTTAGTTTTTTTTTTCAGTCCTTTTCTCTCTCTCGCTCACTCTCACACTCACTCTCACACACACTCTCTCCACTCTGCAAGGCAGGTGCAGGCGTCCCTATCCCGGAAGGTGAGGATAGCCTGGCTATGGACAGGCGGTGGAGTGGAGGTTCGAGGGGGAAGAGAGAATTGGGTGCCCAAAATTGGGTCGGCCGTGACAAAAGCCAGCTCTAACTCGTAGGTGAGGTGTGATGCGGGGGAAGGGGGATTTAGGAGAGATTAAGCAACAGAGGGAGGTGCCAAAGAAGAGGCACTGCGCAAAAAGCAGAAAGGAAAGGGGCGAAAAAATGAAGGGGGAAAAATAGAAAGCCAAGCTTTCGATACAATTGATCAATAGCTTCAACTCGGTGTTTGGAGGGTGAGCCGGGAAGAAGCTAAAATGTCGTTGCGAAAGGCCTCAATGACACCAACAGGACAATGAACACATTCAATACCATCGAGCCCCCAGGGCTAGATGAGAGCAGACCGGATCGAAATTGATTCGATCTACTAGTACAAGAGATGGAGCTGGGGAAAGGGAGAGCGCGTGTCGTGTCTGTTGTCTGGTGTCTGTTGTCTGTGTGGTGTGCTGCGTTGCAATAATAAATTGATGTTTCCAATTCAATTCTTCAATCCCGTTCTTCGCTCGCCAGGTCGAATCAGCCACAGCGCCAAATTCTTGTGTTTTGCTTCACAGGTTCAATCTAATGGTTTAAAGGGACAAACATAAGTGAACATTGAACATTGGACATTGAACATTGATGAGTTTGTCCGTCCGCATTTCAGGTCTTTAAATGTATCAATTTCGATCCATTCCTCGGGAAAGTGAGAGAGGATTGGGTTGGGGGAGACTGTAGGGAAGGCAGCACCCAAACCATTTGAGAACCTGAAGGAATTGTCATAACGAGGCTTCGAGGGAACAAAGAAGGTGCGCTTCTTGCTCGTTCTTGCCCGGGTCTCTCGTCTCGGCAAAAAAATTTGGCAGATTTGATGATCAATTGATGCGTTTGCAATTTGTCATTTTGTCTTTGATCTCAATCGATACTAGTTGAGTGACCTAGACGAGTCTTGTCCATCACGACCATTTCTCAAATCTCCGCAAGTACAACCAAACTCAATTCACAATTCGTTCGAATAATCCATATTCAGTCCGAGCAATCTAATCCAATCCAGGCACCTGAAGAAATTCCCCGTGGTGATACTGCGTTTGTCTTCACGCGAACAGGCAAGACTCGGGTCTCAAAGCTCCCGAGGAAAAATGGGGGTCATGCAATTGGAGCTCAGGAGAGTGACGAAGAGACCATGAAGTATCAGCATCAGTCCAGAACAGAGCGGCAATCTTTGGGCACCAGTCAAGCTCCAGCCTGCAAGGCTTCATCCACAAAATCACCTCCACTCGAACAATGAAACCTCTTATTGGATTTCCAACTCCACCTCGTCGACAGCTAACCCTTCTATTGAGTCCAGGTTTGATGTTGCTCGCTGCTTTTCGAAGCTGATGGTCCCCCGACTCCCCGTCCTCTTGCCAACCCCAGCTTTGGCAAGGATCAACGGCTTTCCCCCTTCCGAGCCGGGTCCATTAAACACCAAGCGTTACTCGGTTGGTCTTAGGCGATTCCTACCATCGAATTCGATTTGAAGCTCGCTCTTGTGGCTCCACGATAGTCTGTCGTGGACATTGAAGCTTGGCTCGATGAAGCCATTTTTGAACTTGCTCGCGTTCTCATGGAGCTACCAAATTTACCTCATCCTCGAATAGCTCGAGTCCGGGGCCGCCTCTGCTTCAAGGCTTGGAGCTGAGTGGTCACGAGCTTGGCCAGCGAGCAGGCGAGCAGGGAACTGCGCCAGCTTGGTTTGGGGGACGGGATCAAAGTTTAATCTATCGATGCTCCCCCATCCATCGTTTGAATCTTGACATCATGAATAAACATACGGATCGCAAGTCGAGACTAGATCCGCCTGGGTGCAGTTCTTGGCGACTGAACTCGTCTTATGTGGGTAATAATTGCGCGTTCTTCTTTTCTTTCGTCGTCCCAAGACTTCACCAGTCCCTCCCACCCGTTGCAGATATCTGGTGTACCAGTTACCTGTGTACTTCTTAAGACTCCATGTGGCAACCAAAGGACATAAGCGAAACTACTCAAAAGCTTCAGTCAGATTGTTTGCTCTCAGCACTGCATCAGTCACATCTTACCGAGCGAGAAAAGGAAAGGGGAATTTGTACCCAAAACAAAAAGGGCAATCCCCAAACTTGGACAAACAATTGACACTTCACACACTCAAGGATGTGATTGATCCTCTTCATATTTTTGATGGAATTGGAAAGTACATCAGGCGTGTGATGTAACAACGCCCACCAACAAGCGCCTTCACTACACGCACACGACACGTCCCTCTCGGCTCGTCCCTTGCCCAGCAACTGATACTATGTAGACTATGCAGATACAGCTACTTCGTAGTTCCCTTCGCAAGCTTGATGAGCTCCCCAAACCGAGAACGCGGGAGTCGAGGGGTCATCCCCTAGACCAAGACACAAACAATGCATTGTTTCCGACATCTACTTTTGTGATTTCTCATCTTAATACAAATACAGAAGCCGAGCCTGAAGTCCAGACATCGCCGCCACTCTTCTTCTCCAACAATAACACTTCCCGCCTTCATGCATGGTAAGATATCGAGAGGTATTGGTCCAGAGCGGGATACCCAACTCAGACTCGTAATCTCGCCTTCTTCCCAGAACGAAAAAAAAAAAAATAAAATAAAAATAAAAATAAAAAAAGAAACGTTTACTCGTCAATTCATCCTCGTCCGTAGCAATCCTAGAAAACCCCCGCCTTCATCGTCTTCATCGAGTAATGAAGCATCTAAATGTAGCGACGGGAAGATTAGATGCTCCAAACTTCATGAAGAAATCCTAACAGGATCAGGTCGATGTCCAAGCTCCGTCCCATGCTACACCCTCGTCCACACCTTTGACAATGTTGACTTGATCCTGCATGAGCCTCTTTCCCCCACCTCGCCACCAGTCAGTCCCACGCGAGAGTAGGGAAAAAAAGTAAAAGAAGCGCCTCAGTCCCTAGTGTCATCATATCTCGGAGCCCAAGGGAAGAACCCGCCGCATATCCACTTGCGCTTTTCTCCTCTCCCCCCACCTTCAATCCCGCCTCCCGCCCTCGAACGCGAACTGCAGCCTGCGGGTCAGATCCCAGCTATCACAGCGGGGTCGAGATCAATCAAACAACATTTGATGTTTTCCAAACTCACCAGACGCAGAAAGAAACCCTTTTTTTACTCCCCATTGGGCCTCCCGGCTTTTTTCTTACCTATCACATCACGCCTCTGACGGAGAAAATTTTTTTCGGGGAATGGCCCGAGATTTTTGGTCTGTTCGTTGAACGACCAAACTCCACTTTGGAAGACGCTCTTCTTTTCAGGGAAGATTTGATGGTTGCTTGCCCCTCTTTTCGAGCTCTCTACGTAAGGGTGAGCTCTGTTATCTCGCTGCCAAGCAACCCACGTTCTTTTTTTCCTGTTGGTCATATAACACGAGGGGCCTGTGGGCTGAGACGCGTTTCCCACAACATAGCAGCATCAACCGCGACAAATCCAATATGACGGGAGGTGACCTAGGTAGTAACCCTGCTTGTAAAAATCCCCTCTGCATGCCATAGAAAGACGCCCACATATGCCGTAGACCTACACAGGTCGTACGTATTACAACAAACATCGTCTGACCATACCTCGTCTAAAAGACGCAACGGGGACCAATCCACGTACAGAGTGACGAAGGAAAAGTGGAAAAAAGTGCCGAATCGTAGTATTCTTTCCAAATACAATTCCTCCTTCACATAAAAAGTCAAGCTGAGAGCCGACAGACCGCCAATGACTGAACCCTCTCCACAGCCTTGCATACCAACCTTTTTGGTCGCCAGAATACTTTCACCCATCCAGACTCCCCAGATATATGCGGGCAGACCCTCCCTCCCTCTTAAGCTTTCGAAAAGCAATCTTTCCCCGCCTCTTCAGCGGTCTCCTCAGAATCGGCTTGAAGAAATATACACATACATATATATACCATCAGGCAATGCCAACAAAATGACCAAACTCACTCACACAATGAGGCTTTAGGAATGTTCCAAATAGGGGGGGAAAAAGGACTTCGCCGTACTTAAAAAGACAATTCCATCATAATTCATAATTGGAAAAACCAACTCAAACTGTTTGGGAAATCAACATGTCCAAGGCGCGCTGGAGAAAGAGACATAGAGAGAGAGAAGACAGAATGCATTATCGACAAAATCATGAAAGGCCAATTTCTTTTCCGTTTGAACCCATTAAGAAGTTGAGGAGACAAAGACAGGAAAGAAACAAAAAAAGGGACCCAATGTTTCATCGATGGTATCCTGGACCTTGGTATCAAACAGCACAACCGGCAACTAAAGAAGAAATGATCAAGAGTGCCAGGAGAGAGAGAAGAGAGTTGGGTGTTTAAACCGAACAAAATGTGTGGAAGCGAGAAAGAAAAGCCAAATGCGCAGACTAGTGAGATAGAATAGACGGATGGGAAAAAGAGAATCGAGGCATTTTGATACCATATTCGCCTGTTTACGGACATATCCCTCAGACCTGATAAAAGAAGTAGAAGAAGACAAAGAACAACAACAACGAAACAACGTTTGACATCGTAGACAAGTCTCGTGGGTATGCCGACAGAAGAGACCAGCGGAATAGTAACGAAGAAAGGCTAGTAGGTATGACGAGAAGGAAGACGAGACAACGTGGGAAATAGACAAAATGAACCGCTTTTTCCCCACATGCCCCTCGGGACTTGTAAATGAAACATCCTTACAAAAATCATATCGAGGGTTGTACCGAAATAGTCGTGGATCGCCCAAACGTAAAAGAAAAATAAAAGAAAAGAGCAACAAAAAGACCACGTCAAGGAGGAGAGAAATGTTGCCGAGGGCGAGAAAGTGCCCAGGGCCACCCGAAACACCGCAAGTTACGCCCGCGTGTACAAGGAAGTACCCGTTGGGCAACTAACCTTGGTAACCACTGAAGCCATTGTTGTAGTTCTGGCCAGGATTGGGGCCCTGAGGCCACTGGGCGTTGGGAGGCTGCCCTCCACGGCCATAGCCACCACCGCTCTGGGGGCCACCGTAGCCCACGTTCTGGCCTCCGTAGTTGGCAGGCGACTGTCCACCGGGACCGCCATAGTTACCAGGCTGGCCACCGTATTGTCCGGCTAAATCACAATGAACGTTAGTTAGTTTGGGCCCCCGGATGACAACCTAAGCTAAGAGCCGGCAAACGACTACTTACTACCGTACTGCGGGAAGTATCCGGTCGGGGTCTGGGGGAAACCAGGGCCTTGCGCGCTCTGGGGACTGAACCCTTGCTGAGCGGGATCAAAGCCGCCCTGGTTGGGGGTCTTGTCCTTGCCCCACTACTCAATATGTTAGCATCGGTCACAAATGAGATAAAGCTTGGCTAGAGAAGATGGGGTCTCGTGGTTGTGTGTAGGGGGAGGTACATACACTGCACTTCAGGGGACGACCGTGGACGAGATATCCGTTCATCTGGCAAATGGCCATGGCGGCAGCCTCGTGAGTCTCCATCTTAATGAAGGCAAAGCCGCGATCGGCTTGGAACCTAGACTCGACTACATATCCGAAGTTCTGGAACAACGGTACTACATCGTTGGGTGTGGTGTAGGGGGTGAGGTTGCCAACATAGCAGGTCGTCTGCCACGAAGGAGTCTGGGCGAGAACCATGTCGTAGCTCGCCATACCGTTGGCGGGGAACTGGTGGTGACCGAAAGGCGTCGTAGGGGTCATGCCCATAGCTTGCATAGCCTGCTGCTGAGCAATCGAGGGCTGGCCCTTTTGGTTGGCCCAGTTGCATCGGATAGCACGAGAGCCGAGCCATTCGCCGTCCATGGAGCTCAGCGCCTTCTCGGCATCAGCGCGGTCGCGGAAAGCGACAAATCCGTAACCACGAGATCGACCAGTCTTCATATCCCACATAACTCGAGCCTCCGAGACCGAACCGAAGGCGGAGAATGCCTGGGTGAGAATCTCATCGTTGACTTCGTTGGACAAGTCGCCAACGAAGATGTGGAAGTGGCTAGAGGTATCCTCCTTGCTCGAGGTATTCGACTGGTAGGCCCAGTTGACGCGAATTTCCTAAATACGTCATGTTAGTCCTCGGACTCTGCCCGTCTCAAGTAAGAAACCATGGGTGTATTGTCTCATACCGACTGATGCACTCGTCGGCCGTTCAGAGTCTGCATGGCGCGCTCAGCCGCACCAGGATCATCATACTCGACAAACCCGTAGTTATAGCCCTTAGCCTATCGATTGAAGACAACGTTAGTTCACTGATTTCACGACTCGAGACTATCCCGGGATAGCAAGCCTCCCCTTGATCAGTCTGCCAAGGCGACAAAAACTTCTTGATTGGTTTGGAGCTCAAGGGGACGACCCGATCGACACGGAAAAGGAGGGGGACGGGGAAGGATGCGTACATTCTTATCGGGAATGATTTTGACACTCTGAACGTGGCCGGTTGTCTCGAAAATTTGACGCAAAACCTCCTCAGTGACCCTCTGGTCAAGACCTCCGACATAGAGAGCTCGCTTGTTAGGCTCAGGAGCTGCACGACGTCCAAAGCCAGCACCGCCAGGGGACAGAGCCTTTCCAGGCCCGGACATGGGAGAGGTTATGGCAGTCGGAATGGGGTTCGTGTTCTGGGGGATATGGAGCGGCGGGGGAGGCATGTGGGAGGGGTTCGACTGGTTGCCCTGTCCGTTTTCATACCCGGGGGCGCCGCCCTGGGGAGGTGGGGGAAGCTGAGAAGCGTCGGCGTTGGGACCAGAGTCAGCCATGGCGAATGTATTCGTGTAACTTTGGGAGTCGAGGGTAAACGACGGGAGACGAGGCTCGAAGATGTGATTCGACGCAGATGGCCGTTTCGGACTGCTCAGACTAGAGAGACTCGAGATTCGAAGGCGGGTAACGACCGATCAATAGGCGATTGTCCGGGTAACTGAAGTAGATGCAAGGCAGGATTCTGCTATGCACCAGGGAAAGAACGACTTGGGATATTAATATTGAGTCGAGATTTTTTTTTCTTCTCCTTTTATTTCCTGGTTCGTTCGACAAAAGTGGCAAACTGGCAGACGCTTCAACAAACAAAAGTCGAGGGGCCGTAAAGTCGTTAGATCAACAAGTATCAAGACAGACTGAAAAAGGAGATGGCCGATGCTTCTCTGGAAAAGCAGAAGCAGCCGATGGGTCGGGGTGAGAGGAAGAGCTGAGATTCGAGGTTGATGTTGAGATGAGATTTGGTTGAAAATAGAGGGTGTGCCGTGCTCGGGGTCGAAGCTCAGATGGGTTCTGAGGTATGGTTATTTCCTGAGGAAGGGAAATTGGGCCTGGGCAGCAGGGGGATCGGAAGCCGACGATTCGACAAGCCTTTGAGCCCTCGAGAGATAAAGAGTGGGGTCGAAGGAAGCGGTGTCTCGTGCCAGAGAGAAAATTGAGATGATGGATGATGGTGAAGAACTAAGCAAGCAGAGTGCGGGGAGGGCGGAGGGCTGATCTGGAACAATGACAGGAGCCAAAAAAAAGATTTGATGCAAGAGCCACAGAGAGACGAGTTTAAGCTTCAGAAAGCACAAGTGTTCAACAAAGTAGCAAAGGAGATAAAAAAAAGACGACGACAGCGAAGAGGAAAAAGAAGAAAACAGACTGAAAAGAAAGAGGAGTCGCCCCCTAAATCGCAACAGCCAGTGTGACAGGAAGATTGTCTCTCGACGTCATTCAACGAGATGTGGGAGAGGAGGAGGGGGGAAAGGAGAGAGAGTTGAGAGAAGGTGATCGATTCTCAATATGGCGGGGAGATGTCGACGAGTCCGGCCTGGTTTCTCTGGTGACTTGGTCTTGGTGCTTATCCTGCCTGCAGGGTAGTCTTTTTTCTTTCTTTTCTTGGCCTTTTTTTTCTTTTTCTTTTCTTCTCTTTTCTTAGGGGAGGGCTCTGGAGAGTCTTACTTGGTACGATTGTAGCGTTTAGTGGGCCTAGGCGCCTTTGGGCTTGGGCGAGAACTGCGTGCGACCTGTGCTGTTCGCCCCTTCCGCCTGGTCTACATATGTTGTACACTGCGCAGTACACCGCCAGCACTCGACTCTGACTTCTCTATTCATCAATTCTTGCATTTTTGAGAAGGGGCAAAGAGAGAAATTGACCATAGTACGAAGTATCCCAGTATCTGTATCGACAGTGCTAGGAGTTTACTCTGCAAACTTCAATGTTCTTTAATGAAGCAGTTGCTATTTACTAGTATTATTGATACGCTATAATATCGGAGAGGCTTAACCTTCTCAGTTAGCGACTCTGGTTCCAGTTCCTGAACCAGGCATGCCCAGCATGGTAACCCGGTGGCACCGTGTGTTCGTACTGTCTGCTACATTCCGCAGTGTGCTTCTTACGATCGTGTCAAAATATCTGTATTATTTTCAGCTCCGCTCTTCCTATTTGGGTCTTCCTCCCCTGCAAAGTGGGCTAAGAATGTCGAGCTTGTGGGGGTGTGATGTGCCCATTTACTGGTAAGTCTGCCTCTCAGGCCAATCATCGCCCTGTAGACCTCGAGCAGCAATAATGTTGGGGTGATAATGACCCCAATTTTGGCGCTCAAGAAGACGACGTCTGGTGGTACTCGTCGTTGCAGCTCACACTGTGTTCTACCCAGAGGTGGTGACTAAGCATTGAGAGAGACTTGGGCACATCTGCATATCACGTGCAAGTCAAATCCCTGCAGATCGGGAAAGAGACTTCGTCAAGGTCTTCCGAGCTTAAATAGATTACACCCCGTTTGGGTGTTTGGAGATTTTCTGGTATTTAGTACTGGTGAGGAGAATGCAATTGCTGAAACTGCAGCGACCTTAGACAGACCATATTTGCACGTGATCTCTAGGGGAGGCTTGACAATGACTCAGCGAAGGACACACCCGAGGTTTTGTCAATGTTATATATATTGGAGCTTGACTCACTGCGGAAAGAGACCTTCATCTTCGATTTTACAAGTCGAAGAGCCTCCAATTCGTTGTACACCATCATGACATCTATTATTCACCTGAGGGCTGAGACCAAGCCCTTTGAGCGGCGTTCTCCATGTATGCATATTGACAACCCCCCGAGTCCGAATTCACATAGATCAGACTGACAAAATCCACCAGTATCGCCCGAGACCGCCAAGGCTCTCATAGACGCCGGCTACGTTGTGCGAGTTGAAGAGTCACCAGATCGCATCTATCGTGATGACGAATTCAAGGCCGTCGGTGCTGATATTGTCCCTGCTGGGTCGTGGGTCAATGCCCCCGTGGACAATGTGATCCTGGGCTTGAAAGAGCTTCCGGCAGACGGAAGTACGTACGATCATGTCTAGAGGCTAGATATAGTCTCCAATGTCTAACACCGTTCCTAGCGCCCTTGCCGCATACATATATCCACTTTGCCCATTGTTTCAAGAAGCAGGACGGATGGGCCACCGAGCTCTCACGCTTTGCCAAGGCCGGCGGTCTGCTCTATGACCTCGAATTTCTCGTGAATGATAGAGGCACGCGTGTGGCGGCGTTCGGCTTCAGCGCGGGCTTTTCCGGTACTGCGCTGGCCTTGTTGTCCTGGGCGCATCAACTTCTTCACCCTGGAGTTCCCCAAGGCGCAGTGCCAGCGTTCGACTCTGCCTCCGCTTTGGTAGAACTCGTTCGATCTTCCGTTGCGGAAGCACTGCCACTAAATGGTGGCAAGTACCCCCGTCTCATGGTCATTGGAGCCCTTGGCCGTTGCGGAAAGGGGGCAACTGAATGTTGCCTTGCTGTGGGAATCCCCGAGGAATCGGTTATTAAATGGGACCTGCCTGAGACCAGCCGTGGCGGACCCTTTCCCGAAATCGCCGACGCTGATATCCTCCTGAACTGCGTCTATTTGGGGGCCCACAAGGTCCCACCCTTTACCACGCTCGAATCGTTGTCGAAGCCGGAGAGGCGGCTTCGCGTGATATGCGATGTGAGCTGTGACCCGAACAGCGAGAACAACCCAATTCCCGTCTATTCCGGATACAGCTCCTTTGACAACCCGACTGTTTCGCCATCAGGCCCACTGGACGGACCTGAGCTGCGCATCATTGCCATTGACCATCTTCCCACCATGATCGCTCGCGAGGCAAGCGATGAGTATTCCGGCCTACTTCTTCCCAGTCTTTTGACACTACGGGATCGCGAAAAGGAGGGTGTTTGGACTCGGGCAGAGCAGACGTATCGAGAGCGAGTTGCAGAACTGCCGTAGACACTGGCAACATGAGATGATCGGTGGCTCCAAGAGTTCGTCCTACAGTGACATCGGAGAGGGTGGGAAAAGCCAGAATCCTTACGAGGCTATCGCCGAGCGTAGTTGCTCTTTCACACCAATACACGGGTTGATTAGATGACTCCATAGACTCCAGCAGACAAAAGATTCTTGGCGTCCAAAAGGACGTTGACGACAGAGGCCAGAGTGCGATAGCGCATATATTCAACCCCTGTGCCGGGCCCAGGATCCATCCTTCTCGTACGCGCTAAATGGAGCATGTCAACAGACAAGTGCTTACAAGTAAGAGCTCGAAATTGCTATCACATTGGCTCGAGCCCTAGCTGGCAAGGACCCTCTTAGACTATGAGGTAGGAGGGAGAAATATTACTTGCAAGGGATACCTCCTACCCCAGGCTGACAAACAGAAAAGAAGATATAAATTGAAATCAACGGGGACGAGATGAACATTCCAGTATAAATACAGCATGTGAATATTGTCGGCGGAAACGGACAAAAGACACCAGCCTTCAGGTGTCCGTACGACTGAGTAATTGAAGTCGTCAAGTTCAGAGCTCGAGTCAGAGTGGTGGGTTGTACCGAAGTATATTATGTAATTAGACCTCCACTCGGATCGGATAAATGCACACACGGGAGTAAGCGTAACACTTGAACCCCACGTTTGTGTTTAGAACGCAATGAAGTTGCAAGCGGCATCGGGGTGGTCTGTGCCTGCATGCCTTTGATGTGTGATTCCATCTTCTCAGCTCGAGCCTCCTTGATGCGAAGCAAGCCTGCCTCGCTTCTTGATGCTTGCACCCTTTAAACCCTCTCCGGTTATTCCCCATCAACAACGTCATCTCCCAATATGGGACAAGATTGAACACAGTACCTTTGTACTCCACCAAGGTCGACTCCTTCATCGGCACGCCACCCGAATCCCCTAGCGCCATCTATACCAACTCCACCAACCACTCTCAAGTTGGCATCTTGGCTTGCCTCCATCATCGCGAGAGTTGACCCTTGCCTCAATATTTTGTGTCCAGCGCCTTATGCCGCTGGATAATCTGGCATCCTTCTTATCGGCATAGAGCGCTTGAGAAGTCACCCGCATCCACCCAGAGGCCTGATCACAATGGCCACCCAGAAGCAAGATCCCCTTGATGTCTTGCAACAGACCATCAATGATATTGTGAGTTGCTATAACACCCAAGACTCTCGGGAGAGTAATTTTGCTAACTGTAGTGGCTAGTTGGTTCAAACGGGAAAGGCGCTAAAGGCCGCCCAGAGCCAGGGACCTCGCAACATCGAGCAGGTCAAAGGCATTCTGTCTGCCCGGATGACAGAGTCGGTGGAGTCTTATCACCGTGCCCTCCAGGATATCGACGTTGATATTGTGAGATTTTAGTGTGGTCCGAGGTCTTTTCGTTCTTCCATTACTGACGGTCCCCCCTTAGATTCAAGCAAAATCCGTCTTGCAGAGAGATTTAGAGAAGGTCAGGGCCAGCAAGGCGGCGGCGGCTGCTCAACAGACGTCCCCTGTGGTTACAAAGATCGAGCCCCCAAAGCCGGCATTCCAGTCCCCCGTACCGGCCCCTGTAATTCCCAAGGCGGCTTCCAAGGCGCCGACGCCTAAGATGCAGCAGAAACAGCTCCAGCAACAGCAGAAGCGAAATGCTGCTGCGCAAAATGCTGCGGCCGCCGCTAATAATCGGCCCGTTGCCCCGTTCCCCGACATGGGAATCGATATGCCTGCACCGCCTCAACCCGTCAAGTCACCCGTCGTGACCAAAAAAGAAGCCAAATCTTCATCGGTGACGCCAAAAACCAAGGCGTCTACCCTCCCTGGTAAGGGCGAGGCCAAACGATCGCCAGCGATTAAGTCCTCCACGCCGATTCCGGTGCCGGTGATTCCAACCGCACCGACTGCAGCTCGGGTTGCTCCTCCTCCTCCTCCCCCAGCCCCGACCCCGCCCATGTCTACAGTACCTCCCCCTGCTCCAGTCCCGGTAATGGACCCAACTCCAACCGCCGCCAACCAGTTTAGCCTACCACCGAATATGATACCCGCCGGAACTAACTTTACCGACATGGAGTTCATGGTGGCGCAAGGTAGCGACCCTGCTAATCAAACCGCGGGCCAGAACATGTCGCTCGACATGGGCGGAAACATCGACACCATAGACCTGGATAGCTTCTTTGATCCTCCCGCACCGATGGGTAATCAGCAAGGCGTCGCCCCTACCGCCCCCATGGCTATTGACAGCGGACCAAGCGCTTCGAACCAGAAGAGCCAGCCCCCCATGCTCGGCCACGACGATATTTATGATTTGGGTAGTGCTACGACCGACTCGATGGATCTCGACTTTGGTCTAGGCCAAGGTGGAGGGAGCAGTTATATAGACGACCTCTTCTTCGGGTCTGGAGATGGGAGTCTAGGTGATTTGGGCGACTCTAATAGTGTCTTTAACTCGTAGTGCATTCCTCTCGAATCGGATAGCTTTTCGGGGGAGGGGAGGGGGGTTAAAAGCAGGCCTGAAATATGTAATCTCTTTCGAGCACGGCTAAGCTGTGAGCGGCGCGGGTATGGCGATTTTTTTTTCCTTCTGGCGAAAGCGGCGACGGAGTCTTGGAAAGATCAAGGTTAAGTTTTTCTCTCTCTCGGGCTGACGGATGGATTCGCATTTTTTGTTATGCTCATTTCTTTCTCTTTCCTTTCTTTTCTTTTCTTTCATATGGGCTCGAGGCGTTTCGAAGGTTATCTTCATGAATGAGACTTTGCATACTGCTTAAGATCACTATCTTCTCCTTGCACACCTATGATCGTCGACATTTGATAGTAGTCAACTTGACACATATGGCTCGGAGGCATATATAACTTTCAGACGCGTGGCATATCCAATAATCCTTTCATCTAATTATCTACAGAGAAGTATTAATATGCCCAGTTACCTTCATCGCCTCTTCCCAGCGCCGAACTCAGCATCAATCCAACAGAATTTACAAAAACGACCGAGAAAACCGACCCAAAACAAATCACGGTTGCTGTGTCATCTTCCACATATTCCCCAGCAAAGTTTTGAAGTCCTTATTCCTCCAATCCCTCCACTCCCTATCCAAAGCGCCCCAAGTCTCCTCATGGTCCACAACGCCATCCCTCACATAATACGACCCCTGAATGGCCCACAACGACCAATCCGCATCATTGCTCTCCATATAACTCACCAAGCACATCAAATAAGCGAAATCCTGATCATTCAACCCGGCGTTAGGCCCGCCCTGCATATCGACGCCGAATTCCGAAAGCCACAATGGTCCCGTGTACGACTTCCCCTGCTCGAGGACGAAGCCGAAAAGCAGGCCGTAGTTGATCTTTGTGAATTCGCAGTTGCCCACCTCGGGCGTCGTGACGGTGAAGGAGTAATCGTGCGTTTCCCAGACGAGCTTGTTGCGGAAGGACGAGGTATCCATGGCGCGCGTGCGTAAGAGCGAAAGATCGGTGCCGCCGTTGAGACCGCCCACGACAACGAGGAGGTCTGGGTTCGTCTCGTGGATGATTCGCGCGGCAGCCGTCATCTTGGAGTACCATGTTCCAGCGGCGAAGAGGATCTGCGTCCATGTGGCGCGGAGCTCGTTGCGGAGGGACATGCCGACGACTCCGGGTCTGTGGTGGGACCAAGCTGCCATGGCGGTCAAGCCGTCGATCCACTTCGCCGAGTCGAAATATCGGCTGTTGGCGGCGAGGTAAATGGGCGCATCGGACCACCAGCCGTTCCCGTCGTCGAGGTTACAACACCAACTAGCCTTGCTGACATGGTTATCGAGAATGGTCATGACGCCTCTTTCCCAGAGGGCATCGATAACGCGGGCGAAGACGTCGATGACGGTCGCGGACTCGAGGAACGGGTTCGCGATCACGGCGGCGTCGTAGAGGGCGAGGAGGGCGTCCTCGGGGACTTTTGTCTCGGCGGCGGCGGCGCGGAAGGAGTCGCGCACGCGCAGGGAGGGGTTGAGGGCCATGTCGATGGAGTAGGTGAGGCGCACGCAGTTGAAGCCAGCGGAGGCGATCCAGTCAGCCAGGTAGGGGAGGGGCTGCTTGTGTAGGCCTTCGGGGATGTTGGCTTCCATGTGGCCGGCCCAGTTGATGCAGCGGAGCTTGACGCGGGAGCCGGTGGAGTCGAGGATCCAGCGGCTGGAGGAGGAGAGGGGGACTTGGGGTTTTTGGGCGAGGGTGAGGGCGGGGAGGAGGGAGATGAGCGAGACGAGGAAGGTTTTGAACTTCATGGCTGCTGGCGTGCCTTGGGGCGAGAGCGGGACGGGGAGCCCGGGTGTAAGTGAAGAGGAAAAGGGTGTTTGCGACGAGGCTTGGAGCCGTGTCGCCAGTTACACAGAAAAAAGAATGTCGCGATTATCGAAACGTGCGTGAACGGCGTCTAACTTAGAGTCATGTCGAGATAGATATATATACAAAGGAAGGGCATGTATGCAGCAGTCCGAAAGAACGAAAAGGATCGGTCAATGAAGAATGCGAAAGTAGACCGCCAAGGAGAATGCAACGAAGATTAAAAGCAGTACTTATATATCATCATCCTCGAGTTGGACGCAAGCATCAGTTGCAACGACCGAAGAGGTCAAAGACATGGATGACCTCCCGTCGTGCGTCCGAGGAAGAGGAAGAACAAAAGATTCTGACATCAATATACTACCTCCCTCTTTAGAGTGTCGGCGCAATGCAGGGAAGCAGGGGAGAGCCCAGCATTTGCCCCGCATCAATGCCTGGCAGGGTTACCTCACTCCCATCCCGGATCTCGGATCTGGTTCGCTTGACCGAATCACAGGAGCGCTGGACGGGGGAGATTAACTATTCGGGACTCAGCGAAAGGGAAAGCGTGAATGGGTGAACCTAGCCTTGGTGGTTGCATTTGACACTCTGCAAGCACAACTCCAGTAGGCCCGAGTGGTGAGCATGGGACGTTGTCTTTAATGATGTCGCTAATTGCCGGGATGGAGGAATATTTACAGACTCAGACTCTCGACGGCGGGGCCGAGTGAGAGAGAGAGAAAAAAAAAGGAGAAGAACGCCGTCCAAAAATGGGTTCGAAGGTTTCCCCTGGATCGTGGATGGAGGCAGCTGAGAATGGTTCGCAACGTCAGTCTCCCACCAATACAGGGACCAGGTGTTGGTGAATGGGGAATGCAACTCTCTTAGTGGCTCCTCGGTCGAAGCCACAAGACGAAGACGCGAAATGCTTCGTCGATGAGCCCAACTTAAAGGTCGCCTAGTCCACATGATTGGTGCATCACGATTTCCAGGTTGTCACCATTTTGCTCACGCGGTGGAGAAGTTAAAGTCAGAGACGGTCCATAAAAGACATAGATTCAGGATAAGAGGTTCATCGACCATATAACTAAGCCAGTAATAAGGGGTAAAAGTGTCATTGAATGCAAGACAGAGAGCCGCACGATTCCTGCATTTGATATTTGACCCAAACTTTATAAACTCCATCGACTTCATACGACATGTGACGGTTTCTCCAACATGAACAACGGAAGGAGCCACCTCCTCCGCCCAACATCGAGATGCTCCTTCCCTCTCTCTCTCAGTCTCTGTTGTCACAATCAAACTTATGTTTTATATACGAGGCCATGGCAAGAACCTCCAACCGAGCAGCTCAAGCAGTGGTGACACTGTAACCAATGGCCAAGTGGTCATCGGAGCGCTCAGAAGGCTAGAAAATTGCAATTTTCGAAGCTCGCGGGAAGCAATCAGGAGTTCGATCCTGAGAGCAACCCGCGAGTGAGCTTTTTGCCAAATTTCTTTTATTCCTATTCTTCATTTTACTCTACTTTACTTTTTTTTCTATCTCTATTTTATGTTAATTATTTTTTGGGGTGAATTATATATATATATATATATATGTGTGTGTGTAATATCTTCTTTCTTTTTTCCTCTGTGCTCTTGCCCGTCAAGCATACCGGCTCATGGCAGCATGCGACCCAGTCAAGGCTCGTGTCTCGTTGATCAGGAATCTCTTTTATTGATCGGATGGGCAATGGAATAAATGTTAATGCGGGCTCTGCTTCGCAATCGACACTGTGAAAAGGGAGTCGGTTTGTGTTGGTTCCAACATTGGGCAACCGGCTTCGAGTTGAGGGCTAGGCAACAGCCTCTCCCTTCTCTCTTCTCCCCTCGGAATCAGTTTATTCATCTGGACAAGTTGGCTGCGGAGTCTTCAGCACACAATTCACCAAACTTACAACCGAGCTCGCTCATAGTATCGGGAGTTACTTACTCTCTGTCCCTGACAATATGGTGCGTCAAGGAAAAAGGACGCATCACGGCGTCGTCTCCTGGGCCGCGTTTCGAAGCAAGTCGGTGTCTCTAGGCCATTTTCACCCGAATCACCAATGCGGCATCTGTGGCGAAGTGTTTAGGTTCAATGACAGATGCGTGGGTTGTAAGTCTCGAGAAAACTTGAGCATAGCAACTATCTAGACGTTCTCTGCTAATCGAATGCTTTGTGTCTAGTACTTGGGAACCCTCAGTCAAGCGCAAGCTGGCTCTGCACCAGGCCGTTCCTCTATCCCCACTATGTTCTTAAGACTGTTCGGGCTGTCGACGGCTGGGCCCTGTGCCGGACGCCTGACTGTGCTGAATGTGCCTCATCGCCAGAGGCAGCCTCTATGCATCTCGACTGCTTTGAGCTTTTTAGACAGTCGTATCTACCAATCGATGCACTGGACCGGCTATGGAGGGTAGTCGCTTGGCGAAAGCCATGGCGCGGTGCTCCAGCCCTCGTTCTTCCTGAAGGGAGTATCATCGGGTCTGGTGCCCTGGCCGAAGTAGCGGAAAGGTACGGCCTCGCTGGGCTGGGAAGGATGCCGCCGGAGATTATACAGCTGATCCAAGACGACTCGGCCTCGGCCCTATTCTGGCGCCTCATAGCCCCTCTCGATCTTGCTGCACGATTGAAAGCCCTTCCGGTAGATTATTTCATCATTGTCCCTTTTCGTGAGTTGGCTGGATGGGAACGCGGCTCCCTCCCACTACAGTCGAAAGATCTTGGGCACTTGCCTATTGTTCGCTTGACTATCGATTCACGTGGCATTAGAAAAGTTGAGAGGCTTCCTGCAGGCGAGCCTAAATTCTCGAGCGAGAGATTCGACAATATGGCATTTATCATCAGCGATGTGACAAACTTCAAAGGGGTTGTTGCGTTGTTCAAGGTATGTCATCCCTCACTCGTCCCATTGCATTTCGATCGAACTAATACTCGAGAAGGAAGGTCGAGTACGCCTTAACCTGCCCGAAGACCATCCTGGCTTTCAGATTTGGGACACGCCAACTCCACCATCTCTGCCTCCGCCACATGGTCCCCCAACATTTGGGTCCCGTGTATATGGAAATATGACGCAGTCCACTCGTTTTAGCACCATCGACTTGTCCTCGATAAGTGGACTCACGTTTTTCTTCAGT